AGAGTCTGCCATATCCCTCAAAACGCCTTCGTCAAAATTGATGCCAGCCAATAAGCTTTTAGTCCAATTAATCTTCAAATTGGAGACCCTCTCAAAAAGATTCACTATCAACTTCAAGTTTTCCACTCCATCTCTACAATCCTCATTACAGAAGACAAAAATATCATTTGCAAATTGCAGGTAAGTTAGCAAAATTCTCTCTCCCAAATGCTCTTTGTGATGTTTGGGAGTTGATGAAAAAAAATGCTGTTAATGTGAGAGCTGGAGATTGAGAAGAATCATGGAGAAGTTTGTCCCGGCGAATAGGTGGAAGAAGGCTTTGGGTGTGGAGAAAAATTTTCTGTTTGAAGAACAGGAGGAGGTTCCACTTTCAAGATCAAAGAAGACAAAAGGGCTGTTGTGGTTCTAAATAGGGAGGTGGCAGGATGGCTCAAAAGTTTCATAGATGGTAACCTTTTTGCCATTACTGAGATAGGGTGGAAAGCTGAACTAAATTTGCTGCAGAAGAAGTTTCTGGTAGAAAAGAAGAAAAATGATAAAGGAGAATTTATCCAACTGATCGAGTTTTTTTGGTTTGGGTAAAGGGTAGGTCATTTGCTTTCTTGCTAGAAAAGGAAAACAGGGCTGGGTGAAGGTGGTGGAGACTTTGGACGATTATGAACAAAGACTCTGGGCAAAGGAAGGTCAGAATGTTTGGAGAGAAAAACCAGTGGAATACCCAGACATGGAATGATATTATGAAAATATCAGTCCTGTGGATAAGCTGCCAGAACTGGGAGGCATGAGCAGAAATACTATATGCTCAAAGATGGTGGCTGATGGTAGATTGGATGAGTGGAGAAGAAAGAAGGTGCTCAGGTTGAGCAAAACAGTAGTGGACTGGGAGAGAGTGCTACAGGACTTGGTTGAAGCTCTGCCGGTCATGGAAAAGACAACTCTTCATCCCTTTGGTGATATGGCAACAGTGTTGGATTTGCCAAATAATATTGAGAACTTAACTCATTTCAATACATGGGAAGGGTTAGAAGTGGTGGAGAACTGGAACCCTTCCTACAATGAGCTGGAGGTTGAAGGTGATAACATTGGCCTGAAACTTCTGGGACATCCCTTCAATTAGTGGGTAGAGGAGGTCTTCCTCCAGATTGCAGCACTATGCAGAGGAGTCCTACAGGAAGTGGACCTATCTGACCTCAAAGTTGCAAGAGTACGAATTCGTGGTTCCAAACCAGAGAAAATTCCAAAATCGATTGAATTCTTCTCCGTCGGAAGGTGGAGACAAGTTTGGGTTGCGTCGATTTGGGAGAGTGGGAGGCAAGTAGAAGATAATGACCTAGCAAGGCAAAGGTCATGTGGCACAGTAAGAAGGGGGGGGGTAGTTTCTTATGTGGACATTTTAAAGTGGGAGTCCAAAGGAAAAAAATTTTGGAACCGGGGTCGAACCAGATGGTCGGTTTGAGTTTTAAGGGGCAGTCATGTAACAACTTAAAAGTCATGTGTAGGTCTATTGGGAAATCGATGGGGGATGCTAGTTTGGGTGTATCGTCGTCCCCATTGATCCCTGACAGCAGCAGTAGAAAAAGAATGCCAAACTTTTAGTGGGAGAAACGTGCTTCTTCACAACAAGATAAGCCTAACCCTAGGTACACAAGATCGAAGGATGTACAGGGGGATTAAATTGATGATAGGCGGTGGATCAATTGTTAAGTTTCTGAAGAGGAGAGCATCTTAGACGATGACTCTAGCATTGGAAGTATCAATGGGACAGTCCAGGCGCGATTGGATGATGAAGAGGACATAAGTATTGAAGAGCTATTTGCGGTAGACAAAGTCAGTGATACCAAGAACACAGGAGTGTCTACTGTTAATGAACCTTTATAGAAGTTTCTTGAGGCCGAAGGAGGAAGAGAAAATTCCAGCTCTCAGGCGGCACTAAACCAGGTCCAGGATCAACAAGGATATTCATGCTCCCTTTCGGTGAGTAAACCCTCTCTTGTGAGTAGCAAAATCAGGGCGATCAAATGGTGTCTGTGCAGGGGATCCATAAAGCTTCGAAAGTGATACCTTTAAGGGATACACGTACAGGTTCTGATCAGTTCACAGTAGCCATGACTCAAAACCAAACAGAAAAGCTTGTTGTTTTGGAGAACAATATTGGTCCGAGTTGGGTGTTAAAGGTTCCGAAATCCCCCAGTCTATTGATGTGGTCCCTCCTGCGGATAATGGTAACCCCTGCAACCTTCGTGGATTTCCTTTTGCTATGGACTCCTTTTCTAGTTCTGTTGCAGATGGCCTAACCCCTGATCTCGCTGTGATTAAGCCCATGGACTTGAATAACAATGTTGAAGTTGTGGTGGGGGAATCTCCAAATGAAGATCCAAAACTTGATTGTGTGGGGAAAGCAGCATCTTTGGGGGAAAATGTGAGGCATGTTGAATATAGCGAGGAGGGGGAGAAGGGTAAAGAAAAAATGGGACCAGAGAAGGATAACCCTGATTTGGTGAGAGAAAAAGAAAAGAGTTGCAGGCATGAAGGAGAGTCTTTAGGGGGAAAGCAACAGGCAGAAGAGGATCAAGTAAAGAACCTAACTAATAGAATGGGGCTTAACCTAGGGAAATCTAAGGAGGTAACAACTCAAAAAATGATTTGGAAAACACGGGGTGGAATAAGGAAGAAAAAATTGATTGATGTGGAGAAACTAATCAATGATGTTGAAGGGGACAAAGAATTCAGTGCTGGGTGGGGGGAGAAGAAAAGGAGGTCTTTAGGAAAAGGGGGCATTGAGATTCTTTAAGTAAGCATAATGAAGATCATTAGCTGAAATATTAGGGGTCTAGGAAGTGCTATAAAAAGAAGGCTGATTAGGGAGTTGTTGAAGAAAGAAAAGCCAGATATAGTTATGATTCGGGAATATAAGGTGCAAGAGGTTGATAGGAAGTGGATTAGGAGCTTTTGGGGAGAAAGAAGTGTGCAGTGGAGTTTTGCACCAGCATGGGGTGCATCCGGAGGAGTAATAACAGCCTGGAAGGAAGACCTGTTCACTTGTTGTGAAGAGCTAGTGGCCTAGTGGGAGGATTTTCTGTCTTAGTAAAACTGAAAAACAATCAGGATGGGTTTGAGTGGGAAGAATTAGCAGACATTAGAGGTTTGTGGGATGGCCCATGGTACTTGGGAGGTGATTTTAATGTGATCAGATTTATGGGAGAATCAAGTGGAGGAAGACAGAGGGTCACTTAAAGTATGAGGAAATTTAACAATTTTATTGAGACTTTTGAGTTGAGAGTTCCCATAGGTCAATCTTGTTTTACTTGGTGCATTCTCCAGGCTAATCCTATTTTCTCCAGACTGGATAGGTTCTTAATGTCTCCTGATTGGGAAGAACATTGGGTGGGCTTTAGGGGGAAGTTTCTACCCAGAATCACATCAGACCATTGGCCAATCTGCTTGTTTCAGAGGTCTGGTGAGGGGGGACCTATTCCTTTCAGGTTTGAGAATATGTGGCTTACCCACCCAGGATTCAAGAAAAATGCTAAGGAATGGTGAGATTCCCAAAGCTTGCAACCTATTCCCAAAGCTTGTACAAGGAGGGATTGCGTTTCTGATCAGATATTGGACTGGCTGTCTATGTTTTCATGGGGATTTTTTTTGGGGGTTTTCTTTGGTCTTCGCTCAAAGTTGGTTGGGTGAATCCTAATGTTTGTAAGTTGTGTGGTTGTCGGGTTTTATTATGGGGTTATTGAGGTCTGGTTGATGATATAGACGATTGTTGGCTGCCATGCAAAATAAGAAATCAATGTAGGATTTAGTTTGTTTTTTCTTGTTACTTGCAAAACTCATCACATGGGAGATGTCTAGGCTGGCTGGAACCTAGACATCTAGTCATCTAGGCATTCCCTTCACATAGCTTCAAGTTGGTGCCTTAAACTATGCTAATCTATGGAGTCCACATATTTGTTCTTCACTTCTTTGCAGATAGAAGTTGTACGAAGCCATGCTTGTCATAATTCCTCCTCCTCCTCCTCCTCCTCATCTAAGTCTTATCCCAACTTTATGGGGTTAGTACCTGAATCCTGTTTTGCCATTCCATTCTGTGTTTTGCCATATCCATTCCTACTTTGACAGTTTGACCCATGTCTTTTTTGGTCTGCCCCTAGCCCTTCTAGCCCTTCAACTTGCAAGTTGCAACAAATTACTTCTTATAGGTGTTGTGGATGGTCTTCCTTGCACATGACTTAATCTTGTTAGTCTACTTTCTCTCATTTTATCACCTAGTGGGGAGCTACTCCTAGGTTCCTTTGAATTACCTCATTTCGGACCCTTTTCTAGTTTTTCCTCTCATCCATCTCAGTATACATTTCTGCCATACTCATTTTATGGACATTTGACTGCCCCAACACTCTGTTCCTTACAGCTGAGTTGGCCTTACAACTGTTTTACAGAAATTTCCTTTTAATAAGTGCTATTCACCTATCACATAAGACTTTGGATGCATCCCTCCATTTTGCCCATCCTGCTCTAATTCTATAGGCAACATCCTCCTCAATCTCTCCCTCATATTGATATTGAACCAAGGTACCGGAAAAGATCATATTGAGTTATTTCTATCCTTGTCATTTCTTACCCAGTCCTTGTTTTTGTTATTTCAATGAGCTCTAATTGTTGTATATAGTCAGTTGCCTTGAGAACTTTTACTTGCTATTTGGAGACAAACTGTCTGACATTTCCAATGTATCATAAAATGCAAGCTTATTTGCTGGTTTCACCATTTTTTATTTATAGAAGATAATCTATTTTAGCTATATCATGATGATTCTATGGTCATACATATGTTGTCCTCTTTTGTGATATAACATGTGTTGTCATTTATTTTGCATTTGGATCTGAAAATAAAAACTATATTGCTTAACATTTCATTGTCTTGAATGATTACCTTTTTTCTTGATCAGTTTCTCTTCGATTATTATCTTCATTATCTATAATTGATACATGTAACATATGTACAGAACGGATGGAATAACACAGAGTCAACTTGCCAAGGAATTTGGTTTGAAAGGAAACAAGATCTTTTATATAGTAAGGAGCCTTGAATGCCGGGGTTTGATTGTCAGACAGTCAACAATTGTGAGAACAAAAGAACATGCTACTGATGGTGAAGGAGATTGTGTGTTAAAAAATACCTCTGTTGTGAATACGAATTTGATCCATCTATATCGTTATGCAAAGCATTTGAGTTCTCACGAAAGACTGGAAATCACCAAAGAAGATGCAGTGGAGGGTCTTGGGAGTGCAAATGGAAGTACCACTGGTGTTGATGTTGCTGGAGAAAATGTAAGAGAAGATGTGCTCATAAAGGACTATTTACCTGCATTAAAAGCTGTTTGTGACAAACTTGAAGAAGCTGACGGCAAGGTCAATGACACCTGAAGCACTTTTTCCTTGCAAAGTCTTTGTATTCTGTGATATATGCTGATTTTTATTTTTCTTTCTTTTTTCCTTTGTGAATGCTATTCTTTGTCAAAGGTCCTTGTCGTCTCAGATATTAAACAAGCTCTTGGTTATCGGAAGACTCCAGGGCATCGCGCTTGGAGGCATGTAAGTTAATATTATCATCTACCTTTGCCCCAATTTTGGTTTGAGCAATTTCTGCCTCCTCATTGTATCTTTTTGTCTCATGTGTCAATAGATCTGTAACAGATTGAAAGATGCTCACCTTGTGGAAGAATTCCGTGCAGAGGTCAACAAGAAGGTGCTTTCTTCATTTTTATATTTGGGAAGAAGCTTTCTTTTGCAACTGTGAAATGTTGCTTGTACACTTCCGATTCATTTTTTAAATCATATTTAGTATGAGTTAACTACTACCATTGATTTTGAAATGGTTTCTGGTCCAATTTGATAGGGTCTGGTCATTTGTTGGTCCAATTGGAGTTGAGTAAGGTAATTGATAGAGATCTGAGATAGGGAAGGTGATGGGTGTATTCTATGTATGAGTAGAGCCAGCCAAAAGAATTGTATATTGAGGAAAGAGAAAGGAAGACATGAGAGATGGTAAAACAGAATAATAAGAAGGATTTTTGTGTAAGGTTGAATTAGTTGGTTGCAACAGTTGAGTAGGGGAGAGGGGGTAGAAAGAGCTAGAGAAGACAGTGATGAATGAGGAGGAGTCACAACAGTACTAGACATGCTTGATGTCTGTTTTGAGCACAGCTGTGGTGGTGGTAGGTGGATATGAGTAGCAGAATGAGAGAAACTTGGTTGTCTAACTTTTGTTATAACATTTCTTATTATTTGGTATGGAGTCACGATCATTGGTATATACAATTTTGTCTTTGATTTTGCTTCTGGGAGTGGTTATGGTGGGTATTGCTTGCTGATGGTGGGGAGTTTGAGAAACATGGCACTAATGTCAGCCTTTGTGAGTGGTTATGTATTACCTATTTTTGTACCTTTTCTTTTCCTTCAATGGTGGGGAGTTTGGAAATGGCAAATTCTTGCTATGATGCCTGGATACCTGTACCTGCCTAGCATACTGGTGTCAAACACGATGTATACCCAAAATATGACAATAGATACTGTATGGACACTTATAAATATACTCTATGGCATTAACTTACTCTTGTAAAAGGTTGTCAAGTAGTATTGTTTTATAAATCATACTACAAAGTTTTAGCAATTTCTATGTTACTGTACCTGAAACAAACTAACCAATCAATACCGATTGATTGGTTGTCAGTTAGGTACCACACCTTTTTCGATACCATATATATCTTTCAAGATGGAAGGAGCATTTCAAGTGGCATGCTTTGTATGCATCCTTGGTAAGAACAAGTTTTGCAAATATCCTGTTACTTTATAACCACCAAGACAATGCAAAAGGAATCAAATTCATCAAAATTATACCCTTGACTTTGAAGAGCATAAGATCATAATATTTGTTACTTGTAAGGGGTCATATGTATGTGTTTGTTTGTGAGCACAAAATGTTAAGTTCATAGTATGATAGTTGGGCACTTTTGGCAGGTTGTTACCTGTTTGCGTTTACTAAAAAGGTTTGATCCAAAGCACTTTCAAACAAAAGCTCTTGGATGTGGATATGATGATCATGACACAGATCAGATGGTAAAACATGGGAAGAGGGGCCAAGTTACTGACCAACTTGTAGAGCTTCCACTTGAGCATCAAATACATGATATGATTGATGCTTCTGGCTCAAAAGGACTGACTGTTACTGAGGTGTGTATGTATGTTTCTTGGTTGTTAGTTTGTAGCTTTTTATTGTTATTTTTTTTTCTAATTTTGAATATCTGACCTCCATAAATCATTTTTCCTTCTATTTAATTTTCTTTTGATGAGTAACAAGAAACAATTTTATTTGATTAGAAACACTAATCATTTTTTTTAAATTAGAAACAAAAATGTACAAAAGACAGGCATCCCTGAGATTGAGATAACCTTTTTTGATAAATAACTTCTTTTATTAGATGAGAAAGATGATCGAGTAAGATGCCATCCTATACTTGATGGCATTAAGATGAAGTTGTCTCCATTACAATTTCCAAAAAGAAATAACTTCTTTTTGATAAATAACTTCTTTTAATACTGCTAATACATCTGCACTTTTTGAACTACCATGATCTACTGGTCCAAATAATAACATGAAGTTGTCTCCATTACAATTTCCAAAAGCCCCTCCTATACTTGATGGCATTAAGATGCCATCCTCTAATAATGTCATCTTTGAAGTTAAATAACCCCACTGTTTTAAGCCAGCGTACAATTTCCATCGTGATGTTATTGTAATCTTATGTGTTTTGGAGACAAGATAGAAAGAATACAAAAAGAAAAAAAATAGAAGAACGAATGAGGAAGATTAAGATTTAAGAGAACCTTAGTGGGCCTAGTGGTGCCCAGTATATATATGTTAGTGTGACTTAAAAAAGAGAGAAAATATTATGGTATTGGCACTCTTTTTAAAAGACATCAGCAAGTTGCTCCTGAGAGTTAACAAATCAAGTACAAATTTCACTCTTTTCAAGTTTCTTTCTAATAAAATGCTTACCAACCTCAATGTGTTCAGTTCTGCCATACAGAACTCAATTGGGAGGTATGTTAATAACAGCCCTATTGTTACACTGAAGTGAAGTGGGATGATCCACAATGAATTCTAACGCTCAATATGTTTTTAATCTACAAAATCTCAGCTAACCCATGAGCCATAGCTTAGTACTTTGCCTTCGCATTGGATCTAGCAACTACAGCTTGTTTCTTACTTCTCGAAGTTATTAAGTTACCATCCTCGAAAGTATAATGGCTAGTAGTGGACCTCCTGTCATTAATTGACCCAACCTAATTGACATCAGTATACATCTCCACCTTTAAGCAGTTATCTTTTGAAAAAAGGTTTAAAGAAGAGAACAAATCACTCTATTATGAGTGATAATGGACTGGGTTCTATTTTGAGAATGGCCTTTTTTTGAGGTCGTCCTGGTTTGTTTTTGTACAGCTTCTCATTGTACAAAGGACCTTTTGATTACAGTTACACTTTACCTTTTTCTCAAAATAAACCACTCTTATCATGCGGAAAAAGGATAATGGACTGGGTTCATATACTTCCAGAATTTGAAGGGGTATCAAAGGAAGATTTTGGTGCTGGTTTTTGTACTCATCTTGAATTGGACAAAAGCGTGTTATTCTGTTTCTTTGTTTTCCTTATTTGATGTTTTGAGTTATATTAGAATTTTTCTAAGGGGATTTCTCATCACCCTAGCTGATGTACTCTTTTTTAATAAATCTTTCTTTTTTATTTATTACCAAAAAATATTTAGTAAATAACACACCACTTACAAAGTGCTTCTTCAAGTACCAAAGGATTTTCTCTATTGCTTGAAAGTGAGATATTTTGGGAGTATGCATTTTATAAGAACTCCCATTGCATGGGCAATATATGGCCATGTCCAAGGTTTAAAATTTTGGTGGTGGTCGTCCAAATATAAGAAACATGTCAGAAATGTCAAAAGTGTCATGGAAATATTGTAAAAATTATAGACATGGTGAAAACATTGTAAAATATGCAAATGATAGAATGATATTTTATGAAATGATAAAAGAAGCATAGGTACAATTTTTAAATTAGTATCTTGTTCCAAATCATTGAACAAAGCTAAGAAACTAAGATTATAGACAAAAGAATACTTTCTGAAGATGCCCTGTAAACCTTGAGATTCAACGCTTCACGATACAATGAGAGTTAAAGAAAATTTTAAACTCAAAATAAGTAAACGGTTGTAATATATCAACTGAATAATCTCATACACAAACAAAAACTAATATTTAACTAAATGTTTGAGATGAATTTTGAGATAGCTTAGAGTGGTACTCATGTATGTTAGGTAGGCAATAACATTGTTATTTCACATATCTACAATATTGTCAGCAACTTATCTTATAATCCTATCTTTTGTACATAGTGAGGGAGGGAGTTGGGGCAACGGTTGGGTTTCTCCATTGCAACTTGGGTGACCAGGGTTCAAATCTTGGAAATAGCCTCTCTGTATGTGCAGGAGGGTAAGACTACGTACATCTGTCCCTCCCCAGATCCCGCATTGATAGGAGCCTTGAGCGTTGGCCTGCCCTTTTTTCTTGTACTCCTAGTGCTGCTAGTCTTTTTTTGATAAGTAAAAATAAAATTCATTAAAAGGAAAACAGGATACAATCTATGTGAGTGATAAGATATTACCAAACACCAGCAACAAAAACATAAACTACGTACTTTCAAATATCCAAATTACAGATTTGAAATCCACCCCCTCACATAAGCTTTTGCCAGAGTCATCTTACCCGACCTGAGAAAACTCAGGGAAAAAAACACGACCAAACTGCAACATAAAAACCAGTAGTTACCATCAGCTTGTCCCACTTCCAATCCTTGACTTCAAGGTCTCTCTTCCTTTCCATCCAGATTAAAATAAACATGAAACGTATCCTTGAAGGCAAAATAGTTGAACCCACACCCCCATATCCTGAAACTTCTACTAAAGCTCTTAACCTTCTTCCCCTCATCTGCAGACACTACAACAACCTCCCATTACTCTTCATCCGCATGATCTTCTCTTCCTTCACCTTACTCCCAAACCTCACCCTTCCCCTCTTCCACGTACTCTTTTCCAGCTTTGTTCTCTTCACCTTCCATATACACTATCAAAACCGCAATTTTGTCCTGATTCCTCTTAACAAATAATATATGATAAGTCTACCATTGTCTGAACTGCACTTGCTGTACCATCTTATTATAAATGCTAAACCTAACCTTGGGAGATTGCTTCAGTCTATACAAAGATTTTTCAAGTGGCACACATTTTACTCACTACTCTTGACATGGAAGCCAGGAGGTAGGGTCATATATACTTCTTGAGATTGTAATTTTTGGTGAAAGAACCTTTTTTCATTCTAGTAGCTAGAACCATTTTCAGGACTTTGTAAAATCCGTGCAGTAAATATATAATTACTATTAACATGGGAGCTTTTGAAGTCTTTTTTTTTCATTGGTAGAGGTGTAGATATGAATATTAGATAAGTGGATGTTATGTTATTAGTAGAGAGGTGCCATTCTGAACTTTATTTTTTCCCCCTTTCCTCCATGTCTTTGAATTTCTTCCCCATGTTTTTATGCATTGTTATGAGCTCAAACTATTAATTTTCTACGTGTTATGGAAAATATGGTAATCAGGTCTGTAAGCGGCTTGGACTTAACAATAAGAGGAATTATACTCGGCTTCTTAATATGTTTTCAAGGTTTGGGATGCAATTGCAAGCAGAAAGTCATAACAGGGGTATGGCCTATCGGGTGTGGACAGCTCAAAACTTCAATCGTGGTGCATCGATTGCTTTTCCTAGTAGACATGAAGATACCCGTGATGGAAGTGAGCTTTCCTCACAAAGTGTGGGTGATCTGGTTCTCCATGAAAAATCAGCTCCGTCCATTGTGCACTTGGATTCTTCAGCTTCTGTAAATGAATCTTCAACTCCTGGAACAGTGAAAGAGGGAGGAATGAACTCAGAAACTTGTCTTGTCCTGTCTGGTGATGCTACAAGTAATCAGATGGTTGTTTATGGAAGCCAGCCAAAAGATTTGCCTCTTGAGATTGATTGTACAGTTCCTGATGCTGAACGTGATTTAGTGAATAAAGTAACTAAGTCAAATATTGTTCCACCAGGAACATCATCCCTGATTTTTTCAAAGCCCGCAAAGCTCCAATCTTGTCAAAGGTATCCGTGTCTTACTTTGGCTGCAATTAACACCCAAAGGGAGCGGAGGATACTTGAGCGGCTACAGGTCTTTCCACCCTCTTTCACTGTTTTCTGTTCTGTGTTGGTTCTAATTGTCATTTCTTTTATGTGCTATACTGTCTGATTTTGTCAATTGGATCTTGGTGTGCATTTGTTGGTTCTGTACAGGAGGAGAAATTTGTTCTAGCAGCTGAGCTCCATAGGTGGCTTGAGAGTCTTGAAAAGGAAAAGCCCACAACAATGGCTAGAAAGACTTTAAACCGCACATTAAACAAGCTTCAGCAAGAAGGACTGTGTAAATGTGTTCACATTAGTGTTCCTGTTGTCACTAATTGTGGCCGTAGCCGCACTACTGAGGTTGTTTTGCACCCGTCTGTTCAAAGTTTACCACCTGAACTGTTAAGCCAGATTCACGAGAAGATGAGATCTTTTGACATTCAAAGCCGTGGCCAAGGTTTAGCTCGACTGAAAAAAGATGAATCAGTTCCTGTGCTGAATGGTGTCCAAAGAACTCAGAACCATGTAGTTTCAGATGTCCAAGCTGCTAGATCAGAAGCTATGCGTGCTAATGGATTTGTTTTGGCAAAAATGGTTCGTGCAAAGCTGCTGCACAACTTTTTGTGGTGTTACCTCAGTAGTTCTTCTGACTGGGGTGATGCTTTATCTTCTGGGAAACATGGATATGACCTGAAGAACCCTCACAGCACTTGCAAATTGTTCTCAATGAATGCAGCAATAAAAGCAATGCCTCTTGAGCTGTTTCTACAAGTTGTAGGGTCCACACTGAAATTTGAGAACTTAATGGATAGTTGCAAGCGTGGTTTGCGTCTCTCTGACCTTCCAGTGCAGGAGTACAGGTGTCTGATGAGTACCCTAGCAACTGGACGACTCTCATGCACAGTTGATATTTTACGCCGGTTGAAGGTATAATCACCATATCATCAGCACCACTTTCTGCATTATCCATATAATTTCACATCCTGAAGATAACCAGTTAAAACATCTTAGGATTTTTTTTTGATGAATAACAAGTATTTCATTACTTAGTTGTAAATGATCTAAAAGAAGTGGATGGCAATGAAACCTCCAACTATAGTTTGAACATTATATAGTGATAAGAATTTCTTTTCTTTGAATTGGTAACATGAATTGTAACAAAATTATATCATTGTTTCACAACCTTATCATTGTTTTTTTGATAGGCAACAGAAAATATTTCATTATATAGATAATAATATACAGAAAGTGATACAACCAGGGAATGAGTACCCCTTAGATCATGTGTAACATTTAAGTCCTATACAATCATTCCCTGCCCATCCCTTACCTGCAGGATCAGATTAACATGTTCTCCTTTGTTAGAATCGACAATACAAGGGTAGTTTCTTCATTTGTCTATTTTATTAAGGTTGAGTTGTCTATTTTGTCTGGGTTTAAGTTGTGTGTCCCATACTTAATGAGGGACAAATTTGTCTTTTGTAATCTAATACAAAGAGTAGTGGGTCGGTTGAGAGGGATTGACTTTTCCTCTTCTCAGACCGAACCATTTCTTCTTCTTCTTTCCTTCATACTTATCTCAGACCTAGGACTGAACTAGTGTTAATCGAATCATTCACATGGTATTAGAGTGCTAGAGAATCTGTCTAGAACTCAGTTTTTTTCTTCTTTCTTCCTCCTAGGATCACCATATCAGAACTTCTTTTTGAAATAACTCCCAAACTAATTGGAGGATCGGTAAGGGACCAAAAAGGAGTGGTCAATTTTCCTTCTTGGAGGTAACTATGGTCTATGCCCCCAGTTGCTGTGGTGGTGGTCGTTATGGTGGTTCACTAGAAAACCTCTAATCAATGACTCGAAGTGGGTTGGTTGTGCACAGGTGTGACCAGACCAGAACTCTCTAGTCGGCTGATAGTGTAGTGTGTTCTCTCTCTTTTGGATTGGATTTCATCCATGTGGCAGTGTTGATTGATAGGTATGCGTATGGCCTGTTTTTCTCTCTGTTTATGTTTGAATATGTGTGGTAACAGTAGGGTTTTCTGGTGCTGAATCTATGACAGCAACAATGTCGTAAGAACAGTGTTTTATTGTGTGGTGTGTGGTTTATGGTGTAGTGCTGAATAGTGAAGGGTGACTTTTGTCTCTTGTAGTTGCACTCTTTTTTCTGGTGTGTGGTGATTTGGTTATAATGGCAACAACTAGAGAGGTTAGTGATAATAAGACTGTGTTATGATTTACCCCGATTACCTGAATGTTTAAATGACCTTTATCAAATTAAATGGTGAGAACTATGTCCCATGGGCTAAATCAATGGTAGTGTTCTTGAGAGCCAAGAAGAAGGTGAAACATGTGAGGGAGGAGAAACCCTCTTCTGACTCTCCAAGGTTTAGTGAGTGGGAACAGGAAGACACACAAATTATGACCTGGTTATGGAATAGCATGTAGCCTAAAATTAGTGTGAATTTTATGTTCTTGGGTACAACTACGGAGATCTGGGACCATTCTAAGAAAATTTATTTTGGCCAAAATAACACTACTAGAGTATACCAACTTTATCAGGAGCACTTTAACTTGAAGCAGGGAAACAAAGTCTAGAAGAGTACTATTCAAGCATGAGAAATCTTCGTAATGAGCTTAATGTATATCACCCTTTGACTCTGGATGTTAAAATTCAGCAACAACAATGAGAACAACTTGATTTATCAAAAAAAAAAAACAATGAGAACAACTTGATATGAAAAGTTTTTTAGTGTGTAAAATCTGAAATATGAACTTGTTCGAGCACAAATATTAGGCGGATTTGCTCTCCCTTCTCTTGAGTTGTTTGCTTGACTTAGGAGGATTTCTATCGAACCTATGGAGCCTTCCTCTCTCTCGAATAGGTCTGGTTTTGTGGTGGTGAGAGGGGGAGGTTGTGGAGGTGGTTGTGGGTTTCTAGGGACCCGAAGTGGTCATATGTTCAATCGTACTGGTGGTCGCAGTGGAGGTCGAGATTTAGGGGGAGATCGTGGTAGAGGACAAAGTACTAGTCCTAGGAGGTGCACATACTGTGGATTAGAGGGGCATATTGTTAACTTCTTATATAACTTACATGATCCACCCAACACTTGGGCCAATCATGCTGTGATTAGTGGTGGTGGTATAATTAGTGAGAACCAGCAGGCTGATTATACACCCTCCACATCTATAGGTGCTTTTGGGAAGGAAATGGTGAGTGTCCCACGTGAGGGGTATGAGAAGTTTCTTCAAACATCTTAGCAGAACACCGCTACACTTGCACATTCAGGTATGGCTTGCTTGGCATCCAAACCCTCACACTAGATTATTGACTCTAGAGTCTCTAATCATATAATTGGGACTCCAGGTGTGTTTTCTTCACTTTCTTAGTCTTCCACATCCCAAACAATTACCCTTGCTAATGGTTTTTCCTCTCCCATTTGTGGTGTTGGTGATGTTGATCTCACTTCTTTATCTTTATCCTCTGTCTTATGTGTACCCAAATTTCACGTTAACCTCGTGTTTATTAGTAGATAAATCAATTCACATAATTGTTCTACAACCTTTTATCCCTCTTCTTGTGTGTTTCAAGATCTCAAGACGGGGATGAAGATTGGCGGAGGGCATGAGGCAGGTGGATTGTATTACCTTGATGGTGGTGGTCCAAAAGTAACTCTTCAAGCCTCTCTTACTCCTCTCCAGTGGCATTGCAAACTTGGTCATCCCTTGCACAAGGTCATGAAGTTACTGGTTCTGTCTTTAAATCATCTTTCATCGTTGGGTTGTGAGTCATGTTAGCTTGGGTTACCATATAGTCTCTTTTAGTCCTGGAGTTGATAGTCATGTTTTGAGTCTGTTTTCTTTAGTTAATTTAGATGTTTGGGGTCCAAATAAAGTAGTGTCGTATAATGGCTACAAGTACTTTGTAATTTTTGTTGATGGTTTTTCAAGGATAATATGACTTTATCTTATGAAAGACAGAAGTGGATTGTTTTCTATTTTCCAAAAGTTTCATGCTGAAATTTATACCCAATTTGGTGTTCATATTAAAATTCTTCGCTCAGACAATGCAAAAGAATACACATCAACACCATTGTAGCAATTCTTAGAGCACCAAGGGGTAATTCACCAAACTTCTTGTTCTTATACCCCACAATAGAATGGTGTGGTTGAACGGAAGAACCAACACTTACTTGAAACTGCTCAATCTATTATGCTTGATATGAATGTTCCAAAGCGTTTTTGGAGTGATGCTGTACTTACATCATGTTTTCTCATCAATTGGATGCCCATGTCTATCCTTGGAAGTTAGTCCTCTTTCTCAGTCTTGTTTCCTACTCTTTCTCCGTTCCCTCTTACTCCCAAAGTCTTTGGTTGTGTTTGTTTTGTTCATAATTTAGGGCCTGGATTGGACAAGTTAAATGCATGTGGTACAAAATGCATCTTTCTTGGCTACTCCAGAATCTAGAAAGGATATAATTGTTACAACCCTAGCTCTCATCGGTCATTTGTTTGTTCTGATTTCACTTTCTTTGAGTCTGTTCCATTCTTTTTTAATTTTGGTGTTCCTCTTGCTCTTATATTTCCTCTTCCAGTTCTAGTTTAGGACCTCCTTCCTACGGTTCCTGTTGTGTCTCAATCGTTTTCTCCAATGTAGGTTAATATTGAAAGGCCACCAATCACACAAGTGTATATTCACAGAAGAGCACCAACCCCTCCTCCAGTTCAGCCCTCGTCATTAGATCCTATAGTTGTACCCTCTCCCTCTAATCTTGATCTTCCTATTGCATTGCGGAAAGGTAAATGTAGTTGCTCATCTCATGCTATTTCCCATTATGTCTATGTTGCTCACCTTTTTGCTTCCCATTTCGATAGTTTATATCTTTGTTATCATATGTTTCCATTCCTAAGAATGTTTAAGAAGCCATTAACTCTCAAGGGTTGTTGCAAGCAATGGAAGAGGAATTGTTTGCACTGGCATACAATCAACGTGGGAGCTTACCCCTCTCCCTCCTAGTAAGCATGTTTTGGATGTAAGTGGGTATACACAATAAAGTATCTTTTTAGATGGCAATATGGAACGATTGAAAGCCAGGTTAGTGGCCAAAGGCTATTCTTAGTTGTATAGTGTTGACTATACAAAGACATTTTCTCCTGTGGCTACGATTTGGTTCAGTTCGTGTGTTGATGTCTTTAGCAACAAGGTATGATCGGCCGCTCTTTCAACTTGACATAAAAAATGCCTTCTTACATGGTGATCTTGTTGAGGAGGTATACAACTGCCAAGGTTTGTTGCTCAGGAGGATGGTAAAGTTTGCAGACTTAACAAGGCGATTTATGGGCTGAAATCTCCATGTGCATGGTTTGGCAGATTCAGTGAAGTAGTGAGGGACTTTGCAATGAGACAGTGCAAGGTAGACCATTCTGTGTTCAGTTATGAATTAGAAGCTGAGAAGATTCATTTCGTGGTGTATGTGGATGATATTGTCATAATTAGTAGTGATAACAATGGTATTGATAGGTTGAAGAGCTTTCTACATGATCACTTCCAAACAAAAGATTTGGGTAAAGTGAAATATTTTTTGGGAATAGAAGTTGCAAGGTCAAGACATGGTATTAACTTGTGCCAAAGAAAGTGTGTCGTTGATTTATTTGAAGAAATAGGGTTGTTGGATGCCAAACCAGCTGAAACACCCATGGAACTAAATGTTGAGTATTTATGCATATGAAGAGTTTGATAATCCTGAAAGGTATAAGAGTTTGTTGTGTAAATTGAACTACGTAACTTTTACTTGGCTAGATATATCATTTGCAGTAAGTATGGTGAGTCAATAACATCATTGAGTTCCACATTGGGAGGTAGTTCTATGAATGGTTAGGTACTTGAAGGGAGCTCCAAGTCGTGGACTGTTATATAAGAGTGGAGGGACTTTTGAGATAGAGTGGTACACAGATGTTGATTGGGCCGGCTTTGTGTCTAACAGGAGATCTACTTTTGGGTATTATACCTTCCTTGGTGGCAATATGGTAACTTGGAAGAACAAGAAATAAATTGTGGTAGCAAAAAGCAGTGTTGAAGCTGAATTCAGGGCCATGGCTCATAGCCTCATACTATGAGGTTGTACTGTGATAATCAAGCTGCGGTCCACATTTCTTCTATTCTAGTCTTTTACGAGAGAACAAAGCATATTGAAGTTGACTGCCACTTTGTAAGAGAAAAGGTGACCAATGGAGTGATAAAGACAGCTCATGTGTGTTTAGGAAACCAATGGGCAGATTTGTTTACAAAAGGGTTGAGTCAGGGGAAAGTGGATTACATTTGTAACAAAGATGAAACTATATGATATATACGCTCCAGCTTGAGGGGGAGTTTTAGAATCGATAGTACAAGGGTAGTTTGGTCATATGTCTATTTATTTAAGGTTGAGTTATTATGTCTAGGTTTAAGTTCTGTGTCCCATACTTAATGAGGGACAGGTTTGTCTTTTGTAATCTAATACAAAGAGTATAAATATAAGGTGGGTCGGCTGAGAGGGATTGACTTTCCCTCTTCTCAGACTGGACCCTTTCTTCTTCTCCTCTCTTTTTTCTCTTCTTCTTCTTCTTTCCTTCTTATCTCAGACCTAGGACTGAACTAGTGTTAATCAAATCATTCACATCCTTAAAACAGCTGAAACCAAAATACTTGTTCCCTTACAACCCCTTGCCTTACAACCTTATCATAATTCTGTTGAAATCAATTTTTTTCATGTCCTTGAACTCTTTTTTTCACCAAATATGCTATTTATGTATAGACATGTATTAGATCAGTTAAATGATGTATAATCGTATTATACATGTAATATATGTATATATGTAGTTTATATAAGGTTTTATTTTTATTTCATTTTTTATTTTTTCATAAATAAAAAGATAAAAATTGAAATTTGAGGCCAAAAAAGGTTCTTTTTTGGCAAAAATAGTGGGCCAAAGCACCTTTTGGAATATCTAGAACTTGAAAAGTTGCCCAAAACGAAAAATGGATTATCCCAATCTGATAACCAAGTGCAAAGTTACCTCTGGAAGTTTCAATACATTTGAGTGTGCAATCACATCCTTTATTCTGTTATTGATTAAAAAAAGGTGCCAAAATAAGGCATTGAGGCATATTTTGGCACAAAAAATGGAGGCTGAAAGTAAAACAATGGGACTGTGTCTCATATGACATAATTCTTGATTTCAACACTTATTTGTCCATCAAACACTTTTGCATCTTGATGTTTCTCATTTCCATGATATCGTTTTGTGGAATTCATGGAACATTGAGTATTATTCTCATGAATGTTTCAGTTTATTATCTATTATAACAATGACAAATACTCCTTTTCCTTGCATACATTTTCTCCTTGGAAAATAGAGTAAAAGATCAGCCATTAAATCTTTTTGAGTGAACCAGATAACACACTTTTATTATTTTATCTTAACCTTGCCTTTGGCTTATTGTTGACTCTGACTTCAGTTGATTCGGCTAGTGACTGATGGGCGTGCAGAACAAGACACAATCCCTCATGCTGTTCTTACACATGCAATGGAACTTAAACCATACATTGAGGAACCTTTGTCAATAGTCCCGCCATCTTCAGGTGTTACTTCTATTGATCTACGACCAAGAGTCAGGCATGATTTTATCCTGTCAAACAAGGATGCTGTTGATGCCTACTGGAAGACCTTGGAATTTTGTTATGCTGCAGCTAATCCAACTGCTGCTTTACATGCATTCCCTGGATCTGCTGTTCATGAGGTGTGTTTCCTAGGTTGCTGGTTATTTTCTTTGGTGTTTCCTTTTGCTTCATACTTGATTTACATTAATGTACAATGGTCTCAAGGATGGTAACAAAGGGGCTCAGGCTCGGTTGGGGGGTATGGTCCCCCAGAACTTTTGAAGAACCTGGTCAGAGGTTTAGAAATTTCTGTATGACAAGAAAAGTTTTCTGGCTCTACCTCTGAATGCCCTAGTCTCCTATGACTGAAAAGATGTTTGGTCTCTTGAATACCATTTCTTGGCCCATCAGAGCATCAATGATGTTGGATGTTGAGTTGATGCCTCTTGTATGGCCATGGTCCAACAAAAAAAGGACTAGGAGTTCAACATCCACAAGAAAATAATTTATCAAGACGTTGAAAAAAACATTGGATGTTGTCCATCCAAGAGGTGTCCTAGTGATTGAGCTGTTAGATACACCATAAGTAGGATGTGTCTGTTATAAAACAAGGCCCACATGATTTGGGTCATTAATGATCTCATGTACATAAATCATTCTTGTTTTTTGGCTATTCATTTGTTGAGTGTTCATGGAAAGTGTTTCCTTATTAAATTTGTATGGCATGTTCCAAGTGATTTCAAATATGACATAATGTTGATGGTTGGAAATTGATGAAGAAGGGGAAGTGTTCCTCTATTTCTCATATGGTTGTCTGGTGGAGAATTTGAGCCTGAGGAACTGGAAGTAGTTGAGGTGGAAGGCTGGCTCTTCATATTCCAATCTGAGGTGCAGCACTGATTCTCCTAAAGTGTCGCTACTAGAGGTTAGGTGGGCTAGACTTTTTCACTTAATCTGTGAAATCCCCCCATGGTAGTATTGTGCAGGTTCTTCAACAGGAAACATTGATAGCTGGCCAGTATCTATTGGAATTCCTCCTTACTAAAGGTGTTTTGCCTCATTTAGAGCCATACGGCAAGGGTGTCGTGGGTTTGTAGATGTTCTTGTCAATGTCTAGAATTGGAGAAACTTGACAATGTGAGAATGTGGGAAAATATTCCTCAGAGTTTGATATTGGTGGGAGGAATTAAGTGTGTGGCTTGAATTATTGTTGAGGAAGATGATTTGAATAGGAATGGTTTTCAATATCAACCAACACTTTTATTGCCTTAAATTGATTCAGATGTGAAGTTAAGCTTTACTTGTAGGATCTTTCTGTTGGGGATTCCCTTTGAGGTCCCATAGGTTGAGGTCCATGGTGACGGATTTTGGTGGATTTGTTCTTCATAGGAGATATCTAGTAGCCAAAAGGACATGGCTGGTATTGCATCAGCTTTTGGGTATTGTGGAGCGAGGGACTTATTTTTCCGTTTGAAAGCCTAGGTCCTTAATGCTTTCATTGATCAATCCAAGCTATAGAGATCTTGATTCTAAGCTGTATGAAGCCCAGATAGGTACTTGCTATGGACGTCCAGATGAACTTTTTTCATATTATCTCTCTAGGAAATTTTCATATGCTTTCTCTAGATAAATGAACACCAGATGAAATACTGCTGCATACAAGGAGTAAGTTGTTAAATGTTTAGTCATACTTGGAAATTGCATCATAGGCGTTGACTGACTATTTATTGAGGCAGCAGCAGTTGGTAACTTGGTATTGTCCTTAATTGACCAGTTGACAATTAGGTTACATTGTTTCCTAAGTTGTATAGTATCGACTGAACTCTAGGAACATCACAAATCAGAAATGAGCCAATAGTGTGGTGTCTAGCATTCGCAAGAGCATAATTGAGTAGGGAGATTGATGGGTGTAGTATTTTTTTCAGCGAATTGGGGATTGCATGTATTTCAGTTTATTCTTAGGATGCATGGTTGTGGATTGAATATGCAAGCATTTTTCTGTCATATCCTTTTATAATGCATTAGTGACAAGTATCAGAAATGTACATGTAAGGATTGTTCTTAGGATCATTGTTGTGGATTGATGGGATTTGGGTTACCACAAGTGGATTAGCCAGGTTTAAAATGTTGGTTTCAGTGGACACACCAACCACTTAAAAATAAGAAATATGTGAAAATATCAGAAATATTGCATAGATTTGTTTAAAATCTTTATAACATTTTAAATGTTAATCAATTTTTAAAAGCACTTATTTGTTTAAGTATTTATATCATTATAAAGTGATAAAATTGTTGCTTTTAATGTGATTACACCATTTCAAGAAAGCCACCTCCTCCAGGGGTTTTTGATATGATTACCAGGTATAGGAAAGTGTAAGATATCATTTCAAGACAGCGACCTCCTCCAGGATTTTCAAGATAGCCACCATTTCAAGATATCATTAACAGGTGTTTGGGGTTTTTGATATTTCCTGGGGGTAGGCAAGTCTAAGACCAACCCCCTTGTGAATCAAAAAAAAAGTGAAGTGCATGATGCAAACATCCGATATTTGTGTATCAGGGTGTCTTGACACTTTGAACCTTGTTTAGAATAAATTTAAGGATTTAGGAAATTATTATATAGTACCACTTTTGATAAAATGGTGATTTTGTAGACATAAGCTGGTCATCTTGTATAGAAAGAATATTGTACAGTGACAACCATGCTAAAATCATGGTTTAAAATGTCTAAATGTTTCTTAATATTTTTATGATATATTTCTCTTTCCATTGGTACTGATAACAATGATGTTCAAATAAAATGTGCAATTCTCTAATGAATAAAATGTTGTCTAAGAGAATCTTTGCTTTCACACAAAACAAACAAGTTTTTTGTCCCCCTGAAAAATAGGATGAAAGAAAAAGGGCATGATTGCATCTTTAAGTTTTGAAAATTCTAAACCCATCTAATTTGACTCTTTAAACTTTTAATACCCTTTAAGGCAATTAAACCTACCCCTAAGTAATAAACTAGAAAATAAATTGGGAAAAGCTACTGAAAGAGCAAAGTCTAAATTACCCAAAGATTATGAAATTGCCACTAGTTCAAGAATATGGAGAAACTTGGTATCTTAAGTCATTTCTTTTGTTGCTTCCTTACCTGCATTAGTCTCATTCTGGTAGATACTTTTAATTTTTTTCTAAGGGGGTTATCTACACTTTGCTCCATTATTGAGCTTTTGTTTTCATTTTAATAAATCTTCTTTTTTTCCTACTTTCCTGTTGACTGAATGGACTTGTCATTGTCCCTAGAACATTTATGGTTTCGAACCCTTCTCTGCACTCTATTTTATTCATGCTCAATAGCTTCTCTCTATCTCACATGTTTTATAATGGTAGAGAATAACAGTAAATTTGTTTGGTATAGGTTTTCTTTTACCGGTCATGGGCATCTGTTCGGGTTATGACAGCTGAGCAGCGTGCTGAACTTCTCAAGCGTGTGGTAAAGGATGGTCCCAACAAAAAGCTTTCCTTTAGGGAATGTGAGAAAATTGCTAAGGACCTTAATCTTACACTACAACAGGTTAGTGTGTAAAGAGACTGGGCCGAATGGGTCCTAGTATCTTCTCTTGTAATATCTTTTCTTTTATTGTTGGCTAATGGGCTTCTCTTAATGGGCCTGTTATTTCTTTTTGTTTAATCTCTTTATGTTACTTCCTAGCTGGCTGCCCACTTGAGGGCATACTTGTCATTACTCTAACTTTAATTCTTAATAAAAAAAGGATTAGAGGAGAAAGGGAAGATAATTTGATTCTTCTTCTTCTTCCTTCTCTTTTCGCCATCTTCTTCTCTTGTGTTGCTGCTCTTACTTCTCTTCTTCCTTTTTCTTCTAATCTTCTAATTTACACCTAATATTTGAGGACTGATTTATATATTAGTGTTTCAATGTGTGTGTGTGTGTATGTTTTTTGCTTCATGGGGTTACACAACCGGGGGGTGGGGGGGTAACCCTTCGGTCCTAAGTCTCTGCTACAACCAGCCAGAGACCTTACAAACTGAGCTAGTTGGCACTACTTGTTTAATGAATCATCATCATCATCCATGGCTTATCCCAACTATATGGTGTCGGCTACATGAATCCTGTTCGGGTAATCCATTCTATTTTAAAGCCATATTATCTGTTTAATGAATACAAATTTTTTAATTGATGGGTGGATCACGATAGCAGTTTAGCACCTGACTTTGGATAAATAAAATTTATGAGCATTGGTAACTCTCTAAGATTGTTGTCCTTGGGTTGATCTTTATCTCAGATGTCATTTTGTTGGCCCTATGTTATATAAATTAATATATTTTATTTCTTTATGGTTCCAATTAGCTAGATCAAATGAGCACTTAGCAACCAAGTTGGCTAACTCTGATGCACATTATGCACTATGATACAAGTGGAGGAGTCCATGCAAAAGTTTTGACCCAGTTAAATGATTGTAATATAGATTCTTTGAATTTCCATAAAAGCATTAGAAGTACTATTCAATTTTGATCATCTTATACAGGATTATGTGCAATGTCACAGCAATTCTTCTTCTTCTTCCTTATACTTTTCTTCATTGTACAAGCTGGTATCAGTGCACTTGTAAAATGAAGAAAGTGTAAGGAAGAAGAAGAAGATTTCAAGTGAGGGGTGAGTTACTGTTCACACTCCAAAAGAACTATTTATGTTGAGATAAAAAATTACAAGAGATTCTATTTGTTGAGATAGTATTTTATTAGCCTTTTCAGTAAACAAAAGAATGCTGCTTGCAGGTTCTTCGAGTTTATTATGATAAGAGGCAACAACGTCTCAGCAGATTTCAGCGAGATTCAGAAACCAAAGGGCAGGAGTTTCAACCAGTAACAAGTAAATCTGGTTCAGCTTCCCGGAAAAGGAAGAAGCATACAGAAACAAGGTTGTCAAAGCACGTGAAAACATATTTAGTATCTGGAGAATTGGACAAGCAGATTGTACCCATTTCAAGTGATGGTCAAATGGAAGAAGAGCAACTTCTCTTAATAAATTCATCTGACCATGAAATTCAACTGCAAGCTTGTGATGATGATGTTCAATATGAAACTTCTGATGATCCATCAGAAGATGAAAATAATTCCAATAATAATTATGCATTTATTAGCCAGTGTGCTTTTTTAAGGCAGAAACCAACACGTCAAAGCAGGTTTTTTTGGTCACAAACATGTGATAGGTAAACAGAAGAAAATTTTCTTATATAATAGAAATAGAATAGATGATAGTGATGATAACTGTTGGTAAACAACATAGCTGCATTAGCAGTCATATACATAGTATTTGGACCCACCATTTGAATATATTCAATGTAGGATATTTCCTACACTATGAGACTGACCTGATTTCCAATCATTTATTTCAATCTTTTTGACAGGTAGAAAAAAGAGAGTAAAGGATTGAGTCTGTGTAACATTGTTGTCTGCAGCTATCTGTTGTGTTAATATTGATCCACATGATTTCCTATGTGAGATCAACTAAATTTTGCTATACCTATCTAGATTCCCAATGTTGTGCAATACTTGCCTTATGTTAAGTATAATTCTGATAGGACCTTGAAATTCTTTTCTACCTAGGTGGATGTTAATTTTTAGCTCTTAGTTTTCATATGTATATTTATATATATATTATATTTTTTTTTGCCTACAGGAAATTGGTGATGCAATATGTAAGGCACCGTGCAGCCCTTGGAGCCAAATTTAATCGCACTGATTGGGGTTCACTTCCTGACCTTCCAGCACCTCCAGATACATGCAGGAGGAGGATGGCATTACTTAATAGCAATCTGAATTTTAGAATAGAGCTAATGAAGCTCTGCAACTTGCTTGGAGAACGATATGCCAAGAATCTAAAAAATTCCCAGGGGAAAAAATCCTTCAGTCGTGATTATTGTGGACAGATGGTTCATGATTCTTCTTTAGATGCCTGTCGTAATTCCAATGATGTTGTAAATAACTTGGAAAACAATTTTGAGGTGCAAGCATGGGATGATTTTGAGGATGAAGCTATTAAGATGGCTCTTGATGAGGTGCTTCAATGCATCCGGATGCCCAAAATGGAGGCTTTGAGGAGAGTTAAGGAAGCACCTGAGAGGGAGTGGTCAGATCTAAATTTGGATGCAAAAGCTTGTGTAAGTTCTCATAATACTAAGTTTGTGGTTAAATACCCCATCCAGTTGTCACAATTCCCAGAAATTGATTCTTCAAAATTCTGAACAAGTCAATACAATTCATTTATATTGAGTATTTGGGGGAGGGGGTTTCTGGATTTTCAATCTAGTTTAAATGGGCAAATCGCTTGCTCAAATAGGCTATATTTTTAAGTGTTATTGACATTAAATTCGTTTTATTTATTTATTTTTTTGTTTTAGATTTTCCCCCTTTTCTAGGGCTACATTAAGAGAATGGCAATCAACTATAGAAACCCTCTTTATATATAGAATGTGTATACATCTATGGGCATATATACACAGTTTACTATTGATGTGCATGTATATACATGAATGCATGCTTTTTTTTATTATCAGCTATGATACCTCGACACTTGTACAAGGATGCTGTATCGTGTCAGATGCTTCAATTTTAGTGTTAATTTTATTACTGATACTGTATCCAGCCATGTCCTTTCTGTATCTGGAGTCTGGACAATATATGTTTTCAATATTTGTCATGATTTGATTCATATAATTTAGTATTTACGTTTCTGGAAATTGTTAGAAACTGATTTGCTGGTAATAATTAATTTTCCTTCATCCCCAGGATGCCCATGAAGATCCCCAATCAATTCCATCCTCAGCTGTGGATGAGGAAATTCAGAACCATGTTGGAAGGCGTCGAAAAGATTCTGGTCGAAGATCGGGCTGTCATCGCCTTCCTGGGAAGTTTCTTAAACTTTTAAATGAAGGCATAAATGTTAGTAGACGAGCCTATGAATCACTTGCAGTTTCCAATGCCGTGGAGCTCCTTAAGCTTGTATTTTTGAACTCCTCCACAGCACCTGAAGTTCCAAAGTTGCTGGCAGAGACTCTACGACGTTATTCTGAGCATGACCTTTTTTCAGCTTTTAACTACCTAAGAGAGAAGAAATTCATGGTAAATATTTGTTGCTGCCACAGCTTTCATGGAGGTTTTTTCTTTTTTTTTTTTTTTACTTGGGTATGAATATTGCCCAAGATTGGACTTTCTTAACCCAAACCTTTGGGTATTTGGACATGCTTTTACACTTGGTACTATATACACACATTTCAATACTACATTTTTTTATCATGAATCTTAGTTCACTTCTTTATAGACCCGGTATACTTCTTGTATGCCATATCATCCAAGAGTTAGACTAGACATTTTGGACTTTGTAGAGCGGATAGCAGTCCCATCTTGTCATTTCTGTAGCTAAACTGTGTGGTTATGTTACCTCTATAAGTACATTGTTTTAATGTTTGGAGTTCCATACTGCTCACTTTTGTTTTTGGTTATGATCCGAGTATTGCCTTAAATTTCTAATTACCATTTTTGTGCAGAAAATGGAAGAGCCTTAATGGAATCCTATGGAGATCCTTAAGGTTTAGTGAAGGGATTTTAGTGCTGTCAGTGATTAATTATATTTGCGAATTTTTACATTTTTCTTTATTTTCTATTTTTGTTTTTTCAGGATGGATGTTTTTTTGGCTTATTCACACTAATTCCATGTTGGTTCTATCTGTTGGAATATTCTTTTGGCCCTTCTTTATTTGCCTTTGAGTCCACTAGATATCATTTTTCGTCATAAATCTGTATAGGAAGATAAGAGATGAGAGAATGCAGCAAGAGAATAGAAACTTTTAGGAGAATCAATAGCGTGAGGCAGCACCCACAATCTTTATTTTATTGTAGTGTTTAAAGTGTATTATGTAGAAAATATCCCTGTGTCCATGAAACTATGATTGACAACATTCCCTCTCCAGTGGGGTATTCACAATGTTCAGCATGACATAGGCTAGTTTCACTCTTATTAAATATATCAGCCAACCACTCTTTACAACTTACAAATAGAGGACAAATTTCATCCTTTTCAACATTATCAAGAATAAAATATTTGTCCACTTTGTTGTCTTTTATTTTATCTTGCTAGATAGGGTTGTGAGATATAATAATTGCTGCCTTGTTATCATAGTACTCTGCTTGAATTAGAAACAGGGAGTCCAATTCAGTAAGCAATTTTTTAATCCACAGCACTTTTGCTGTCCCATGTGTCATTGCCTTGTATCTGCTTCATCACATCTTACTGTTACAGATTGTTGCATAACAAGAAACAATGCAAAAACAGCAATATCATTGTAGTAGCATTATTTCACGCCTTTCTCTTAATGATTTGATGTGGGAATTTACTACCCATCTTTCTTATTCCTTATAATTTCCTTCCATTTTAGATTGTTAAATTTGAAACTTCTCTCTTTTAAATTAAAACTTGTTTTGGTCGACTCCCATATTCATTCTCTATTGATGCAAGTCCCATTTGATACCAATCCTTTTGTAAAAGTCCCCTTTGTGTGAGAGCTTCTTAATTGGATGCAATGCAATTAAAACAAAAAATTTGATCGTTTTCTTTCTATGTTTATTTTTTTTTTGTTTCTTTTCTTTCCTTAGTTATTTTTGTGTTTTTCTTATTTGTCTTTTCCTGGTAAATTTAACCAAATCTAATTCTAGCTATTTTATGTTGAAAATTTTCACTATTGCTAAAATTTATCTTCTGTAGGATTCTGAGACCTTGGTGTTTTTCTTGGGTTCTACTTGAGCTTTAACTGGTATTCAGAAAATCTAGCTAATACAAAGCTTATTTTTCATTTAGATCAAATTTAGCAATCAATTGATGTATTTCTCTTAGAAATTTATCCCTGATAGTATGCTTATATTAATCGTTTGTTCACTTCACTTCTCATGACCACTGTACTTTGTAGGGTGTCTTCTGTGGTTGTTGGATTCTTTGGACAAGATAGCCTTTTAAGCCACAGAGATAGATGGCTAGACCAATTTAGACTTGTCTCTGATGGCTATGCTCTGGATTGAACAATCTATACCATTGTGCCACATCTAAGATTCTCTCTGAGACATAAATTTTGCTATCATTTTGTGTTTACTATCTTCTCCATTATGTGCAGGTTGGTGGTAATGATAGTCAACCTTTTGTTCTTTCTCAACAATTTTTGCATAGTGTTTCTTCTTCTCCATTTCCCACAAACACTGGAAAGAGAGCTGCAAAATTTTCTAGTTGGATCAACGAAAGAGAGAAAGGTCTAACAGAGGAAGGAGTTCATCTTGATCCAGACTTGCAGTGTGGTGATATTTTTCATTTGCTTGCTCTAGTTTATGCTGGAGAATTGTTTATTTCACCTTGTTTGCCTGATAAGGGCATTGGAGAAGCTGAGGAGCAGAGAGGTCTGAAACGGAAAAGTGATACAAAGGACCTATCCGGTGGTGACAAGGTTAAGAAACCCCGCTCTTTGATTACAAAAGATGGAGAGTTTACTTCACGCCGAGAGAAAGGTTTTCCTGGTATCATGGTGTCTGTAGGTCGTGTGGAAATTTCTAGAGTCGATGCTTTAGAATTGTTCAAGAATGAGGAAATGGGTGTCACCACATTATTACATAGTGAGCAAAACCAGGCCACATCTGTACTTGCAACAGCCACTGATTTATCTCTTTCTAACCATTTCATTCAAAGTCACAATTTTGGAAGTAATATTCCCATATCACATTCCCCCAATGAGTTTACATGGGAGTACGTTGCTAGCTATGCTGAACACTTGGTGTCAACGTTTCTTGATCAAGAGGAACAAATTGGTCCCTTCCATTCTGAACTTTTCAAGACTATTTATGCTGCCATTCGTAAGGCTGGTGACCAGGGATTAACCATGGAAGCAGTTTCCCAAGTCCTGGGCATGCATGGTATTTTATTTTTTCCTCTCTGTCTCTAATACACAAGCAAAAAGAGTAATACATTGAGGCATGTATGCCTCTTGTATTATGTGCAAATCCTGAGTTTTTAGATCACCTCCTCTTGCAGTGCAAGATGGTGGTTTATCAGTAAGGAATTTTTCAGGTTTCCTTTTGGATTGACATGTACTTGTTTGTCTCTTTGGCAGGAGACATGTCTTCCTGTCTTTTTTTTTTTGGGGGGGGGTGGTATGGTTTTGCTTCTTTTGGCTTCTTTTAGGGATTTGATTCCAGTTGCAATTTTTGGGACCTCTAAGAGAGGAATAAAAGGATTTGTAGTTCTTGTACTTTGACTAGGACTCCTCCGGATGTCACCAATTCCCCTTGTGAATTGTCAATCATACTAAGGATTTTCATGGGTATAATTAGTGGGAGACAGCATCAAGTTGGGATGGTCATTTTGGGTGAGAGGGTGGTCTTTTTGTAGCTATTTAGTATTTATATTTAATATAACAATCTTATATCATTTATTGTTAAAAAAAGTTCTTACATCAAGAAAAATGTACTGTATTGATGCATTTAAATGTTTTTTTTTTTCAGGAGAAAAGATGGTTGAACTTACTGTAGATGTGCTTCAAGTATTCGGACTTGCTCTAAAGGTAACATTAAATGATTTCATTAGTTGTGTCAATTCCTTGTTTTTTGAAATAAAGATCACTGGAACTGTCTAATGGTGGCAGTGTTGGTAATGTTTAATGTTGTGGTGGAACCCCATCATTCAACTGCACATTTCCAGAATCTCTTTACTGTTTCTTTTTCAATTTCTTCCATGCTTTCTACTTGTCTAAGTGGCTGTATTGTTCTTCTCATTAATCTTGCTGCACCAAAATGTGCTTTACCCAGCTCTGAGTTGTGGGACTTTGAACAAACAGGTAATAAGATTATGATTGATTTTCTGTTTGACAATTTTTAAAGAACAGTCGAAAGGGTCATTGTCTGTAGAATTAGAGTGTGGTGTGTACTAATTTGGAAGCATGATGAAAAGGGTATTCTAATAACTTTACCTATTTAGCATTGGGGAATAATTTTGTTGTTGTATTTTTTACAAAGCTAAGTATTCAGAGAACAACTTCTACACAAATGTACATATTAAAGACTGCTAGTGTGAGCCTATGAACAGTTCTCAAAACTCTCCCAACTGTTTCTCTTTTATCTATTCTATCTTATTCTAGTCTACTTTTCTATTTATTTTGTGTTTTAATTATTCCAAGCTGGTGTTAGAGCACTAGTTATTTCTTCTTCATGTACCAAACAGATAAACTTTGAAGTGGTCCTTGCCGATGTCACCGAGTGGGTTGGGACTTTTTTGTCTGCAGTGTCCTGTCCTTTGGATGCTTCTTTGCTTTATGTTTTTTTGTACTTCTTGAGACTTATACTTTATGGGTTATTGGTTTCTTCTTGAGTTGGATTTCATTTTTGTTGTGGATCCTTTATCCTTAATCTACAAGTATGTGTTCTTCTTGGGTGCAAAGTTCAAAGTATCAATTAACCTGATACACAGTTAAACACAAACTTGCTTATTGGGTGAAATGAATTCTTTTCTAAGTTTTCTTTATTCAAAATTTTATAGGGGTCGGTCTTAGGCCTAACTACCTCTTGAAACAAAAAACCAAAACCTTGAGTATTTAGTGTATTAGTGGTGTAGCCGGAATGATATGATGTGCTCAATACACTAATATTTTGTGAAATTTTGAACCTTGGGTTCAAATGATATTTAGACTTGTTCGAATATTTTGCTTGAGGGATTTCTTCTATACTTCTTGTATTGTTGTACATCCTCTCTTAATGGATTCTACAATTACAGGGAAGATTGTCAGAAATAAAGTTAAAAGTCAAGAAGCATCCTGATTAATCCATACATATTATTTGCTATATCAAGAAATTAAAAATGAATTGACTAAATTAAGAAAAAACATCACAAATATTGGAGCAATAGGGAAATGAGGTGGAAAATTGTCATTTTAAGTTGGTGAGAATGCTTGGGCAAGGGTGTTTTTGGTCCTTTTCATTTTTTTTTTTTTTTTTTTTTTGTATTTGGGCACCCAAATAATGGCTTTCCTGTAACTTTTCCCAAAAATATAAATATCAAGTTTGAGAATGTAAATAGTAACATATCTCTCATTTGGGAGTGTCATAGTTGAATCTTGAATGTGAAGTTTGTCATCTATCCAAACAATGTAGAACCATATGTTTTGTTAGTAATAGAAGTAATATTGCTTCCCATGTGGTACATACTGATGTTTAGGGCCCATATGTTATCCCTTGTATGGGTGGATATAAATACTTCATTCTTTCCATTGATGACTATAGTCGGTATACATGGATCTACTTGATGAAAAGCAGAGACGAGATTCCTATGATTGTTTAAAATTTAAGGGATATGGTTGAGACACAATTTGAGAAAGCTAAGATAATAAGATGTGGCAATGCTAAGGAATATTTTGAAAACCATTTGCATTGCTTTGTTGAAGATCGGGGAATTATTTATCAGAGTTCATGCAGTCATACTCCATAACAAAACGGGGTTGTTGAGAGGAAGAATAAACATGTGGTTGAAGTTGCTCGGGGTTTATTGTTCCAAACTCATGTTCCCATCGATTTCTAGGGTGGTGTTTTCTTCCCTGATTAACCTCTTTTTAATTTACCCCTTAGGATCTATGATTGTGTTTGTTTTGTTCGTGATATGAGTCCTTCCCGACATAAGTTTGATCATAAATCAATCAAGTGCATATTCCTTGGTTATTCTCTAGTCCAGAAAGGCTACAAATGTTTTGATTCTCACTCTAGAAAGAGATATATTTCAAAGTATGTTACCATTTTGGAGTCCTCTTTCTTTGTCCAGTCATTCCATCATTCTCTTTAAGGGGAGAATGCAAGTGAAGATCAGATTCTCTTCTGTCTTCCTATTCCTGTCCCTGTTCTTCCTCTTACTATCACCCTTGTAACAATGGTATTCCTTCTCCTTTTCTTGTGTATCGGTCTCAGTCCTAGCTACAGTTCTTCATCAGGAGCAATAAGAGGGTTGCTGCTAAAGTTGAATGCCCATTACAATCTAATCTCCTAGACTTAGGTAATCTTGAACCCCCAAATAATTCTATTACTAATCTTGACCTTGATCTTCCTATTGTCATCCGGAAGAGAAAGAGGACATGTAAAAAGTATCCCATTACTATGTATCTTATGATACTCTCTCTCCTCTTGGGCAAGTATTCATGGCATGATGTCAAGGATGTTGTTTTGGCTACAAGAGTCACTTTAGCTTCCTCGGTTTCCTATATTCCTGTCATCAAAATTGAGTTTGATGGAATCTTCTTCAGGAGATGCCCATACTGAGACAACCCTTTGTTAGATGAAATTTTTGCTATAGCTTCCCGATTTCTCCAAATATTGATGGTTTTGTCCAATGTATAACCCTAGATCCCAACTTATACAACTGATGAAGAGAAAGAAGCCAACTTTTGAATAGGTTCCTCTTTAAATAGTGAAAGGAAATACAAAGAGGGAAAGTGATCCTTAAGAGCCAGAGTAACCAACCCAAATATCTTCCCAAAAGAGTATTTTATCTCTAGTACATGCATCATACTGGACATGGCTTAGAAACCGAGGGAGTATCCCATGAATTGCTTTCCAAGGTGAATTAAAAGTAATCTGTTAAGATACGTCAGCATCCCATTTATTGTCAGCCCGCCCATGTATACTTTCCACTACCTTGTGCCACAATCTCTTCCTTTCTAGAGTCCAATCTCCACAACCATTTTCTCAAGTCCAAGCCACCTTTTTTTTTAACACTATTAGGGGTGGATTTGAATTGAATCAAACCGAATATTGGTTACTTGAGCTCATCTTGGCAGAAAAGCATGAGGCTTTAGTTCAGGCTTGAGCTCTCGATTTGTGCTAGAAACATGATCTCAAATTTGGCTCCACTTAAATGCTCGTATATTTGAGCTCGGCTCAGCTAAAGCTCGATAGTGAAGCAAGCTTCGTATAAAAAATAAAAAAAAATGTATATGTAAAAATTGTACATATAAAAAGTTAAAAATAATATGAATATAAGCTTGATTAGGCTTACAAGCATTATGAACTGAGCTTCATTGGCCTTAATTTTGACTTCAGATTGAACCAAATTGAGCTTTTCACAAGCCAATCTTGAATAGCTTGTAAGAAGCTTGGTTTCTATTTACCCCTACACACTATTCCCCACTTCACCAAATGATCTTTATGACTTCCACCTAATTCCCACAAAAAAATCCCTCATAACATTCTCTAATTTCACCACCTCCCTAACTAGGACCTTGAAAACTGAGAGGTAATAGATAGCCAAGTTTGTTAAGGTAGATTTTATCAAAGTTATCCTACTCCCTAGAGAGATATAATTTCTCTTCCAACCAGCCAACCCCTTTTGCACATCCTTTTACAATTGGGCTCCAAAATTGACTCTCCTGAGGGTTATCACCTAAAGGCAAATCTAAATATTTCATAGGCCAAGAGATTATGGTACAATCCAATGAACTGCTATCAAGTTGAATTCTTCCTTTGCCAAATTTATTCCAGCCACACAACTTTTCTCAATTCTCAAAGTTAATATTTAACATGGACAACTGCTCAAAGTTAATATTCCAGCCAAGAGGTTGTGGGATCATTTCCCTCAAAAAATTGTTGTATCATCAACAAATTGCAAATGTGTTACTAGGCATGATTTCCAATCCTAAAACCTCTAAAAATATCCATTGTACTAGCTCTCAATATTTATCTACTAACACATATGCTATCAAGGTAAATAGGAAGGGTGAAAGCGGATCATATGGAGGTGAAGATGTACTATTTGTAGGAGGGTTAAACCTTGTAACTGTATGGGTTGGGGGTGTCCCGGCCCTGTAAGAAAGCCAGTTGTGTATTCTGTTCATATTCAATAAAGTGTCTTTTACTTGTATATAAATGGAATAACAAGTCTCTTAAGTGTAAAACCAACACTCTTGAAGATTCTCTCAAAGATTCAAATTATATTTGACAGAAATTGGAGAAAATCCAGCCACTCTAGAAAAAGTCCTTATTTGATGTGCCATACCACATAGGAAGCTCTATCAACTCAAGTAGTTCCACCTTAGAAACTTGAGAGGTGTCTACTTGACCAAGGCCTATTCCCAAGAATTCAAAGCTCACTGCCCTTATCTATGCTATAGTTTACTAAGACCTGTTCAGCAGCTTATTTGGGGGTCCTTTTATAAAAATCCAAATTTTATCTTTTGACTAAACCTTACCATAAACTTCTTGGCTGCTCAACTATGATATCTTAGTACCTGTAATGTCGTGTTTGATACTAATTTTTAGTGCAAGTTTTATATCTGATACCGTAAACAGCCATGTCCTTGCCATATGCAGGTAACTTGGCTGCTGAAAGCTCTTGATCCTTTTAATTTATCTGCTGTGAAGCTAGGGACTTGTGTATTCTTTAAAATCTGTTGGTGTAAATATTAATGATGATTGTGTCCTGAATTTCAAGTTTCAGTCCTTGAAACCAGGAACTTTTTGATGTCAAACAGCTTTATGCAAGTGCCTAGTATACCAATTGAGGCTGCACTTTCTAATATTCAAGTGCTTTTATTGCAGGTCAATGCTTATGATTCTGTCCATGTTGTTGATGCCTTATATCGTTCCAAGTATTTCTTAAGTTCAGTGGCTGGTCACTATCAAGATCTCAATCCTACTCCATCCATGAACTCTTCAGAGATGAATGATAATGGTTCTTTGATCCTCCTGCCAGAAAATCATGATGTTGGCACTTCAGGGAAGCAAATGAGCATTAATATTGATGACATACACAAAGTAACTATTCTCAATCTGCCAGAGGAGGTTTCTCAACCCTCCAACGAAATCCAATCTAGGAATGGTTTTGAAGATCATATGCAGGTGAAAGTTGCTTCCTCAGAAGGGATTCACAAGAATGAGACTTTCAAATGTGCAAGATCTCGTGACTGCCATTCATTTTGGCCAATATTGCCATGGATAAATGGCGATGGGACCACCAACCTTATTGTGTACAAGGGACTTGCACGCCGAGTTCTTGGTACCGTGATGCAGAATCCTGGCATATTGCAGGTATCTATTGGACCGGTTGTTCATATTTTCATTAGAAAGAGGTGGTATGGTAATTACCATTACTGCAGTGAACTGGCATGGACATAATTCTGGGCATTCCATCTGATTTGCCGCCTATTGGATTAATGGATTGATATAGTTGAAATTAGCATGGTTGGATGATCCTGACCTTTATATGGACCTCTACTTGGTGCACCCAATAAACAGCCCCACAAAGCATTTTTTATTTAACTTATGCTTGCAATTGATCATTTGATTGGGAAACCATGCTTTTACCACTTCAGAGTTCAAATCATCTTAGTGACTCTCCCTTATCTTGTAACTAATTGGGCCTACTCCTAAGTTGCCTCTAATGTGTGTGCCCACTCCTGAAGCCCAAATGCATGTAAGTCCTATGCAAAAGCTTAGATTGTTCCTGGATGGTTTGGGTGGTGCCCACCAAGTTGCACACCCATTCACTGAGGAATTTATATAACTTCTCGAGAAAGATAATTTAACGAGTAACTTCTTTTAAAGAATCTCTGTTTTTTCAAAAGAAAAACCGATGAATGAAAAAGAAGACTAAATTTTTACTAGAAACCTTCTGGGGCATTTTTGAAATCTCATTATCATTCCATAATGCAGTATATTGAAAAATGTTTAAATCTTGATGTAAGGTTTTGCTCACTTTGTACTTATTTGGCTGCTACTTGACCTGGGTTAGCTTATTGTTAATTAACAAAATGATGTTTTTTATCAAAAAATTCCCATTGTCATTCTTTTTCCAATCATCGTTCACTTGTAGACATTGCACCTAAACTAATCATTGAAATGTCTAACAGTAATATGTAACCCATTTTGAAGAATCTCTTTAACATAGCTTGAATGTCTTTCTTGGCATTCTTGATGGGTGGAAAAAATGCTTTGTTATTTATTTATAGTCTGCTCTGACATTTTCTTTGTTGTTGTTGTTGTTGTAGGATGATCTTGTACGCCGCATGGATGTATTGAATCCTCAGGTATGTTTTCAGTTTAAAATTAAGTTGTTAAAAAATAAAACCAGTATCCTTCTGTTTATACTGGCTAGAACAACATATTATTAGCCAAATATGGAGAACCAAATGGCAAAAGGAGGTCAACCATTTTTTTGTGTTTTGGTGGTTGGCTTGATAAGTCTAGGTCACATATGAAAGATGCTCATATTTTGGCCCAGAAATCAATTTATTTATTTATTATTTTTTTTTATGACGTGTGTTATTCGTAGAATAGTCATGGTTGGAACAGTATCCTTGTAAGCTTTTTTGTTTAATTAATGAAATTTCCCTTATCAAAAGGTAAAAATAACGGCAGAAGGAGGTAAACCAACAAAACTATCAATCTTAGTTGAGCCACATGCATAAATGCAAACCAAAAATTGAGATTAGTGCTATTGAAAACCTGTGGTGCCTTAAAGAACTCCTCAAAACTATCAATCTTTGTTTGGGTGATGCTACACTTATGCCATCTGCAAACCAACCAAATGGTAAAGAGAATTATGAAATTTGTGTTGCACCCTGAATCAAAAACTGCTTCCCAAGTTACAATTTTCATACTACAACCTCACATGTCAATATGCATTTTACTTTTCTCAATATTCATGTACTACTTGTATATGCATCTAAAAAAAGTATTTACTTGCCCTCCTTTTTGAATTTTAATACAATTTCTATATCATTTATCAAAAAGAAGAAAAGTATATATTTAACAGTTTATGGCAATAAGTGATCTTAGTTGACCATCTATCACTGTCAACGGATCAGTTCATGATCTGGCTCAAATCCAGTTAACCAGAATATGGATGTAATGTGGCGTTTATGACAAAAAATATATATTTAACACAGTTTGATTAATTAAGATCCAACACTTTATACATGATATGCAATTTTGTAGTTTCTACTGAAGTTTGACTTTGTACTATGGTTTATGCTTTTTAACTAAAAATTGTTAGACTGAACATTAATTATTTGGAAGGAAGACATTTTAAGCTGATTTTCTTAATGATATCTAATACCCAATCTCATAGAAGGTATTAGTTCATTTTATTAGAGAAATTTAATACCTGAGTCTGCTTTGAATCTAATTGGTGAGGATAATTTTATTCCCAATATTTATCTGACCAAACTCAGTTCTAGGTATATCTGCTCTGAGTCTGATACATTGACAGTTTATGGCCATCCATCAATTCATGTTGTTCATATCAGGGGCCCAAAAGGATCTGACTTTTCTGTTATTTAAGACTTATGACCCCTTTTTGAATGTTCTTGTGTATGGGTGTGTCTCTATTTGTGTATTATTTTGTTTCAAACTTCTGATTTACTCTTGTACGATCTACTATTACTCCTTAAGTTCCAAATGTCAATATTTGCTAATTTATTGACTTGAACTTATCCAGAGCTGTAAAAGACTTCTGGAGCTGATGGTTCTGGATAGCCACCTTATTGTAAGGAAGATGTATCAAACAATTTCCAGTGGCCCTCCTGCTTTATTGGGGAACTTCCTTGGAAATCTCAGAAGTACAGAATCCATTTGTCGTGAGCATTACTTTGCCAATCCCATGAGTACTTCATTACTTTAGGTATAGAGTAAGTCTTGGAAAGTGTTTATGACTAATTTATCTTTTTGTAAATTATATAATGCTTTTTAGTTAATGAAAAATCTCTTGGCTGGATAAAAGACTTTTCTCCTTATTAGTCGTAATCTTAATTATCTGCAGTGTACTTTTATATATATAAGCAAGGTTTAAATACAGGCTGATACTTACTGGTTATGAGGGTTATTGGCATGCTGCATGGGTGGAATGGCTGTAATTTTGTTCCATTCCACCCATATCTCATGTCAGGCGATGCAGACCAGATACTGTGGGCATATCAAATCAATATGGTGGACTTTTTATTCTATTAAAATCAAACAATTCACATTATTAATTGCTGTTATCTCTCATCAACTCCTATTAACGCTCATTTTCTCTCATCCAACTTCTATGTCTAAAGCATTCATATTTAAATTCTAATTTGATTGTGTCATTGACTTTTATTATAATATGAGTTGTAGATACCTCATCTACAGTCATCCAAGTCATATATAATGTTATTACTGCATCGTTTGGGAATTTATTTGAGTTCTCTTAGCATATTTATGCATATCTTAATTTTTTTCCACTGTATTCAGTCGATTCCAAAACATATTTTAAATTGATTTTTTGATATTATCGTACTTTAAACCTTGTTATTGAGTATGTTAACCTATTTTCCGTTTTAATAAATTGGTTTGGAAGATGGTCCTACAACGTCCATTACTTGATTAGCATGTAAATCAGTTCAGAAAACTATTCTGTTTTAATTCAATGATTAATCAGTAAATGCTCCTCTTTGTCAAGGTACTGGTAAGTGGTAACTACTTTACGTATTTAATGTAGATTCTGTACCGAAACAATGGTTTCTATTTTGGGATAAACCATTGTTACTAGTAGCCCGGTAGCCCCCCTATAAACCGCATCCTGTCTGTGGATTTGGCATCAATCTAAGGTCAGGATTCAGTCTATCCCTAGAAATCTTAGCACCACCAAAGGGGTGGACCGAACTATAAAAACCCCTTCTATACTTGAATCTGATATTGTCCAAATATAAATTGTTAATGTGGTATTATTGCGAATTCCAGCCATCTTGAATCAAATATGCTTGCTTGAACATTCGTTATTCATCAACTGAATTTTGAAATGAGGAAAGCCAAATTAATCTTAAAAAATATATGAATTACAATAAATCTATAGTTTTAATGATCATAAAACAAAATATAAATAGACGAATATATTTCAAGAGTTTATGTGAAGTTAACTTAAAAATCCAATTTAAATCTCATGCTCAAAATTATAAATTTCAATAACCATTTCTGTAATTCTTTTAACTAATAAGCAATGAGAAAAAGTTACAATAAGACAAGAAAATTAGTTATCGTATGGTAATGACTGACGAGTAGAGGTGTAACCCGGCCCAGCTTGGCTCGATTTTGAGCTGGCCCAGCAGCATGATGGTCCATGGGCTGTGTCGGGCTTTGGGTTTCAGGTCTGCGGGCTGGGATGGCACAGTACAACCGAGCGGGCTTTGCTGCCCGTGGCCCGTGTGCCGGCCCCCCCCATTCTGTGGCCTGGCCCAGCATGCTCAAATATATATTTTATATATTTATATATAATATATAATATATTAATAAAATAAACAATTGTATTCAATTTTATTATACTGTTTTATTTCATTATTGTATATATAAACAATTATATACATTAAAATTCATATAAAATAAAAATTTTAAGAATTTTTTTCAATTTTTTTAAATAAACCATTCATATCTTTGGCCCGGTCCATGGCCTGACCTGGCCTAAGGTTTGGCTCATGAACCAGCCCGGCCTGTGGCTCCGGCCGTGGGCCATGCCAGGCTGATCCCCCAAAATATCCCAGGCGAGGGATGCATGGCCTGGGTCGTTTCATGCCGGCCCAGCATGGCCCGTTCTACAACTCTACTGACAAGGTTTGATCCTTTTCAAGTTCAACTAAGAAACTTGGGGTAGGTAATAACATTAATGAGCAAGGAGAACCGCCTTAAATCTGGAAGTTAATAGGAGGTTTAGTGGATTCATAATAATAGGAACTAGTGAGAAGTTAATTTTGAATATAGGAATTAATAGGAGGCAAGCAATTTTCCTCGTCCCCGAGGGTACCCGGGCTCCCCGACCTGATGGGGTCGTGGATGAGAGGTACCTTGGCGGGGTCGGGGATGGGGCTACCCATGAATCCCCAATCGGAGATGGGGATGAAGACGGGGAATGCAATCCCCGCCCCGACCCGTCCTTAATTAATATTATATATTATATAAGTATAATAATTAATAATTTATTTATAAAACAATAAAAACTAAAAGTCAAACATAATTCAAAGAAATCAAGAAAACTTGAAAAGTTGGAAAAACCTTAACCCTCGACTAAACCAGTTATCAGTCTTCATTCTTTTTTTTTTCAATAGAGAAGACTCGAGAGAGGCGATTGGACCATAAAACCAGTAAACCCTAGCTTCGTCTTCGTCGTTGATTCACCAACCGCCGTCGCTGATTGTTGTCACTGCCCACTTGCCCGTCGGACATCAAACAGAGGAGAGGCCAGAGAACTGAGGAAGAGACTTCATCTTCATCGCCGATTCGCAGACCACCGACCGTCGTCCCCGTCACTGTCACCCTTCGGACTCTCTCATCAATCACCATCGACATAAACTCTCCCAAGTCCCAACGGTCCTCTCTCTCTCTCTTAGTTTCGGGGATTTGGGTCTCCAATGGGGAATTCATCCCCGTCGGAGTCAAGGATGGAGGGGGGATTCCTTTCCCCGTCAGGGATTGGGGACGAGGATGGGAGTGATTTGGGGGTCAGGGTCGGGGATGAGGAATGTACTCCCCGCCCCGTTGCCATTCCTAATCGGGTTAAAAACTTAAATTAAAATACGGTATAATAGAACTTATATATTTTTACATTTAATTACAATGTGATATGATGTAAAATTATATATTGATGCTTGTTAAAATTATAAAATGTATATGGAAATGTCTTAAACAATGTTTTGTAGGCTTATCACTTGCATGCATACAATATTATTAATTACCTTGAAGCCTTTAATGATTTTTATTACTCGTGTATTTATAAGAACTAGCACTTAACACCGTGCAATGCATGGGAATAGAATCATAAATATGAAAATATGAATTTGAAAGAAATACCCCTATTTTTGAATTCAATCTCTCTCTAGTTGCGAGGATAAAAAATGTCATCTATACTTCCCTTTCGTTAAGTCTTATATTTAAGGTATTAATTTCCATTCTTTTACACTAAATCCTATATTTAACATATTTTTTCTTTAGAATATTTTTTATTAATTATATTTATATCCAATATTTGTATCAATATAAAACCCATGTTTTCAACCATTTGTACATATTTCCAATATTTTATGTTTATCATGTTAAAGAAAAATATGTGATAAACAATAGTAGTTTTTAGGGCAAATTGTAGATTAGTATCCTGCACTTTGGGATTAGTCTCACTTTGGTACCTGGATTTCAAAATATGCCAAACCAATACTTGAACTTCCAAAACGGCCCATTTAAGTCCCTACTCCCGTCAGTTATTTATATCACATAATGACATGTGTGACTTAAAATTTTTGAAAATATCAAAATTACCCTTCGATGGTTGGATGGTTGATACTGGAAGGGCATTTGCATCCTCTGGATTTGGGTTTGGACTGGATTTGGATTTGGATTTGGACATTTGGACTGGATTTGCATTTGCATCCTTTCACATGTCATTTAACAACAATTAACCTGGGATGTTTTGAAAGTTTGTATACTGGATTGGCACATTTTCGAGTTCAGTACCAAAGTGAGATACTAGGCTCAAACTAAAGAGTACTAATATGTAATTTACCCTAGTTTTTGTTAATAAATTTAATAAACTACAATGTTTATAACCAACTTAAAAATGAAACTTTTTTTCTTGTTTGGTGGCGAGTCAACAATTCAACCTTTTGTGTTAAATACATAAGCCCTTGATGTAATTAAATAAAAAATATTATATTAAAAAGATAAAAGCAAAAAATTGAAAAATAAAGTTTTGTAGAAAACATTGGGCACATTTTTTATACTATATATTCATTATACTAAATACAAATGTGTAATAGTAAAATAATTCTAACATAGATATAATACTGAAAAAAATTTTGGATAGGCATTATTATTATCATTATCATCATTTTCATTTGGAATGTTTGCATGTAAATTTGCTAGTTTGATAAAAAATGCGGATGCATCAAATAAGAAAGATATCATTACTTAAAATGAATTTTGGAATAAATCTTTTCTACAGTGTGTATAAAAGAGTTTATACTAGGATATGAGAATTTATATTATAGCAGGAGTAATGAAACTATAAATTTTATTATTATGAAATATAAAGTAATGTTTGAAATTTTAATTATTATGTTACTGTAGAGTATAGCCACATCATGTCATAAGCTCCCAAGAGTTTGTGGTTAATTCAAACACTCCATCTGCTACTTATCTAGTGTATTTCTGTTGTATTATTATTTTTTGTATCTGTATTTATCTCTTTTGTTACACTAATTATCCAAAACCAACTCGTCTTGGCTCATGTATGTATATTCATACAATTAAAGCCAATAAGATACATAGAGTACAATTTCATAACCTTTCGGTTTAATTTAAAGGTTGTTGTGTTTGGTACCATTGCTACTTCTATTTGTAACATTTTGTGTTAGTCAATACAAATTTTTAAGAAATTATATTGTCACATCATACCAGATAACCACTTCCACTTAAAAAGTATAGGCAATGATATCCAATGTTGCATGATATTTCAAAACATTTATGGTTAGAAAAAATATATTCTTATAAAATTTGTATTGACCAACTAAAAAACGTTGTATGTAGAAGTGGCATGATACCAAACACAACCTAAGTTATCAAATTAGTAAATTGTAAAAGTCTCCCTTGAAGTTGTTGATAATTGCAATCATCTCCCATAAACTTTTTGACATAGTTACAATTAGTCCCCCTCTGTCAGAATCGTCTAAGAGGCATGAAAACGTCTAAAATACCTATATAGTTACTTTGACCAAAATACTTATTTTCCAAATCTTGTTTTCATATCAACTGCTACCTCAAGCCTTTCCGATCCTTTTTTCCAAACTGATTTATTTTTCAAATTTGCCTTTAATATCAATTGCTCAAAGGTAAACTGCAATCTTAAACTCTTTCTTTTTTTTTTTTTTGTTGTTCATAAAGTTTGTATTGTTTTTACTGTAGAAACCAGTTTCAATAATCATTGCATAGACATTTTGGACATTTCTGTGTTTCTTGTTAAAGGATTTTAATAAAGGAAATCTACTTACAACTATGTCAGAAAGTTTAGAGGAGGTGATTACAATTACCAAACTTAAGGGATGGTTTAGCAATGGTGAAAAACTCCAGGGGAGGTTTCAACCAAGGTTCTAAATATCGATACGCCTGATACGCCGATAGGGGCATATTGGGCAGTATCGGTCCTTTTTTATATTTTTTCAAAACCGCCGGTTCAGGGGGGGCGGTTTAAGGCTCCTCCAATTTTCAATTAAAAAAAGGAAGAATGAATGAACATTGATCTAACTTGCACCAAATTCAACGTCAATATAGTGACATTGAAAAGTTGTCAACATAGCATTCGTTAATAAGAAGAGTGAAATTGTGCACATATGAGAAAGAGTAAAGGAGAATTTAGTTAGAGAATATCTTTTTTTCGACTTTATAAAATGATTATTTTCATTTTTTCATTGGAGAGAGAGAGAGAAGCATTTTAGGGGGAGAGATTTTAATGGTAATTAACTACGTGGATTGTGGAAAGAGAGAAAGCTAATCAGTAAGGAAATGTGTGAAAGAAAGTTAGGAATAAATCATTTTAGGAGATCTAAAAGTGTCCTATGTAAATATTTAAAAAGTTAATAAAAAGAATTTTTCCTTTTCAATAATAAATTAATTTAAAAATAAATAACAGACATGTGAATCCAGGCTCCTCACTCTCTCTCTCTCTCTATTAAATACACACATGCATATGGTAATTATATCTCCATGTTTAATCCCTAGCTCCAATAGCTGAAAAAATTCAGCATTTAGTGACCATGGGGCTAGGGGTGCAGGTTGGGGTGGGTTGGGCCATGTTTAAGTTATATAGCCGTTCTCTAAGGGGACATGATTTGAAAGAAGGGTATTCAAGAGTAACATAATTCATAAACTACCAAAAGGGTTATGTAAGTTACATAATAATAAATAATCAACCTATGATAGAAATTAACTAAAACATTCAAAAAGGTATGGATTTATCAACTATCGAAACATTTAGATATGTTCATCAAACCTGAAATGAATTGAACGTTGCTTGTTGGAGTTGAGAAAAGAGATGAAGACCAATATTTATATAGGTTCGGCCCTTTCCAAACCTGCATCCTATCTTGAACACAACCCCTTTGAGAGTTTCAATCCATTACTTAATTGGACTTCACAATGCCAACAATACCATGTACATTAAATCAAATGAAGTTCACAAAAGACTTGACACCACACCTTTGCCTTCAAACCTATGACTTTATGCTACCAGCAAAAACACATCTTGTTTTGGTTCTCCCTTAAAACTTTGTTGACTGTTGATGCAAATTCACAAATACATGGGATATCTCTTTTAGATAGAATATGCCAATACAGCTCAAACTATTTAGCTCTATGCGAAGATAGAATTTCATTGCTTACATTATGGGGATCACCTTAGCAAGGAATCTATTTTAGTTCAGAAAGATGCCTTCATGAGATGCCAATTTCGAATTTACTCTTATCTTCTAAAATTCTTCACTTTCTCCCTTTGTTCAAAAGAAGAGGGTTCTAATGTCTCTTAGACTCACGAGTTGCCTTTTTTTTTTGAAACAAACAATCTTACTTTTGTGCTTTTCACACTTTCACAAATGATGAATCTTCTTACATAAAGGATTTGCCTTTGTCTCTTTCACAAAACTAGAAAGAACCACAAACCAAGAGCATTAAATACTAATTTAAATGTTGGAAGTTAAACCCTTGGTTTGACCATTCCAGCTAGGATGTGAAGGATGCCTCAATACCACTTTGTGTCATCTCTTGTATATGTCAAATTTTCAAGTTTCATGAGCTCCACGACTGGGATGCTGGGCATGTCCCCCATAACTAGTCTGAAGATGTTCCTTACGGTGGATTTAATCTAAACCAAGAAAGAGTTCAAACCATTCTAATATTTTTGGTTCAAGTAGGAATAGTGAAACCACTAAACCACCCAAGGTCCATTCTCATCCAAATGCAAACAAGTTCTATTTCACTGATGCCGATTATATGATAAGCCTAAGACACCATAATTAAACTGACTTGGAGTAGACTTGATCGTCTTGCTTTCTTTGTATCTTTCAAATTGATCCTTTGAAGCCAAGATAGTTTCTTCAATTTCTCACAACATCCATGATTTCCAACAATGTAAACTACTGCAAGACTGAAAACATGGGGTTAGGGCATTCATAGCTTTAGTGTAATTGCTATCACCAAAAACACTATATATATAGCCGGATCAGGCTCAGGTTCGGGTAAGGTAGGATTGGGCTTACACTGGATTCGATTTTACCTAAGTGCTACTTAGTGCAAAAAGTAAAAAAATACCAAATAAACTTTAGACCTAGGCCCAGCCTGAGTACCAAATATCCAAACCCAGCGCATTTACAATTGAGGCTGGGTTAGTCCGGGCTTAGATTGGGCCTGCCCAAGTTGCACCATACACAGAGCCAAGGTGCAAAGTGCAAACTGTTTGGTTGCCCTTTGTACACAGTTCGGCACCTCGCCCTCATGGGAGACTAAAGATGATGTGGATATTCAATTTAAGGGCCTGAACCATGGGAAGAGTGATTCAGAGTGGACAAGCTTACTGTTGGGAAGATCCAGTAAACATCCATACATACAGAATGTAGCTGGTTTATCCTTTATGAATTTCATTGGCAGTTCAATCTCTTCCCTGAGCAAAGTCTACAAATGCCTAATATTGGGCTGGTCCGATCTAGTTTTCAGCGAATTCAACATATAAAAAAGACCTAACCAACCTGCTTCATCAGACGAAAAGAAGTATGCATGTGCTTCAGTCAGCTAATGACAAACACCACAAAGGAGGGAGGGGGGTGTCAGCAGTCAGCTTAGGAACTGTGCTTCTATTTTGAGGACAAAATTACCTATTGACGGAGTACGTGGAAAAACCCCAGCTACTAAATTCCCAAAAGAATGGAAGTAAAGCTAGTTCTTTCTTTCTTTCTTTTTTCTTTTATGGTAATCCATATTATAAGCCAGTAAGGCACAATAGCAGAACTTGACATCATTATTCCAATATAGAGAAACACAACTTTAAAAAGAATTCTTAATACAATCATGTGAGGATGAAGTAAAATTCAAGAAAGGAATGTAAAGTGGTAAAATCATGTCGACGAAACCAAAGGCTGTGTGGTGCTTGATTCTGAAGAAGTGATATCCGCAGGCTGCATACAAGGTGGGCGGTATGCAAGGATTGCATGCTCAGAGTTGACTTCCAATGTACCAACTTTTTCATCACGATCATCATTTTCCACCGCATTCTGAACAGAAGAAATACATTACTGGAACACATGAAAAGTTCATTCAACAAATTCTAAGAAGCTCTACTATTACTATAATCACCATTAGATAAGCAAGTCAACATGCAATGACAACTAGCACACCACCCAGAGTAGCCAAAAGTTAAATGCATATTTTTACAATAATTTGATTTTGTACTATTTATGAGTTCTTTATAAAATCTAATATGATTTGGTAACAATTGTCGCTAAAATTAAGAAAAATACTGATTTTAAGTATACAGAACAGGGGCCAATATACTGACGTAAAATACTCAATGTGATACCAACTAGAAGCTTCTAGCAGGAAATCAAGTACCACCACACTCACAGAGCAGGGGCCAATATACTGACATAAAATCACCATATAAAAGCTTCTAGCAGGAGATCAAGTACCATCACACTCACAGAGAAGCAAATCGGGCGGAGGTTGTATTAATAATAGGAATGAACTATATACTGTACATTATTTGTAGTGGCCTAAAAGATTCCAAGGGGAAATAAGCACCAATTGCTTTCAACTATGCACAAAGGGCACTAAGCATTGACAATAACTATTATTTTTCAGTAGTAAATGATTAGAACTTCTATCTCAATTTAATTGAACATATTTCCTCCATCCAGCCCCAAAATGCCCTAAGAAAAGCCTCCACATTTTCTGGAAATGAAGAAAGGGTGAGAACAATGTAGAGATTCTCCATCATCCTTATAAAGGATTACTATATGCTATAAATCGTTTCTTGATGAGGAATGCAACAAAGTATCTAGATTAACACAATTCAGTAAAATGGCATTGCTAACTGTTTAAAATAGACAACTCTCATTGCAGTCAAGAAGAGATGCAGTAATCCACCCTTCCGGACATCTCTTTACTTCAGCATCGCATCCACATAAAATGAAACAGGTTTCTGTATACTCAACTCTTTACATAAAACCATAAATTCAGAATAATAATCATGGAGACTTTTCCCACCCTGTTGAATGCTAAAAAAAGAATTCAAACGTTGATAAATTCAAGTTACATTATTGGACCAAGATTACCTTTTCTTCACTTGTTTTCAAATTTCTCTAGTCGTATTGATAAAAATGAGACTGCTGCTAATCCCAGGCTCCAATTAATTCTATAACTAAGTCTTAATTTTGAATCATTTTGGAGCAATTTAGAATAATTACAGGTGCCAGATTATGGTTTCTTATTCTCAAAGAAACGGTTCAACCTAAAAGCAAAGCTGTTAGGTGGGATATGGACCTGAAGATCAGGGCTTGAACCAGCCCATGCCAACCCCAGCTACAGCCAGTGGTCCAGCCAAACCTACCTCCAAGCATTCGTTACATCCATACAAGCAGACTTATTCTAGAAGATCACATCAGCAAATAGTTACAACTAATGTCAGAATGAACTGAGCTGTTATTTGAGCCGATAACTACATGTAAATAAGCCTGGAGAGAATAATATAAATATCAGATCCTTAGCAAGTATCTTCTTCTTCTTATGTTCTTTTCTCTTCTGTAAGGAGGTAGAGTCTCCCTCGAAGAAGTCTCCCCAGATAGGCAGTTCCGTTCCTGAATAGGTTTTTATTCTCTAACACATCCCCTTGCACAAAAGCCCAACAAGGAACCATTAAACCTAAAAGCTTAAGCTGTCCCTAAATAAGTTTTTATTCTCTAACAAGCCGCCTCATATGAAATCCCATCGGGATTGAAGCATGGACAAGCACAGGGCCACCATACCTTGTGCTGAAACTTAATTAATTATAATGGAGGTGACAAGAATTTAACACTAGACCACTTGGAGAAACAGGCTTTGATACCTTAGCAGGGAACTGTTCAACAAAAAGCTTAAGCTGTTAGGTAAGGTCCCTAAATAGGTTTTTATTCTCTGACATGCCCCCTCATGTGAAAGGCCATTTATCTCGAAGCATGGACAAACACAGGTTCACCCATATATATATATATATATATACACAACAAAAGAATAATTACAACAAGGAAGACAAACACTCTTATCTTCCTAATATAACTTAAGCCCTCAAGAAAAGAGAAGAAAAGGAAAAGAATGAACAGTTAAATTACAACTTGGCCCAAAACATTGATTCCCTTTCTACCCCTTGTTTAGTTAATCCATCAGCTACAGAACTATCTTTTAACCCAACTCATCTTGACTTCCATCTCCTGCACCAGCCACTTGAATTTCCTCCTCTCATTGCTATAGTTCCATAAATCACTGTTGTCTTTATTCAGCCACCCTATCACCACCTCCGAGTCCCCTTCAATTATGAGTTCTCTGATATTCATCTCCTTAGGTTTTTGGACTCCTTCCATAACTGCCAAGATCTCAGCTCTAAGGGAGTCACCCACTCCAATTGGGCCTGAGAACAGGGCAGAAATGATCCCCATTCTCATCCCTAAAAACACCCCCGATCCCTGATTGTCCAGGATTCCCCCTACTACTCCCATCAAAGTTTAATTTTAAGAAACCAGCAGGTGGGGGGGGGGGTCCAAGACAACCTCATTACTGATTTGGTTTGTGCGCAGTTTGCAATCTCACCCCACTTCCTCAACATGTCATCTAACATGTCATCCACTGTGTAGTCTGTGAATAGCTCTAAAGATTTCAGCCACTGTACATTCCTTATATGGATCACAGCCCTCAATTCTTCAACCCCTCTCTCAACTTCTAAGAAGATCCCGGAATTTCTTTCTTCCCATAATGACCAACATACTACACCCCTCAGTCCTCTCCACATAGTCCTTCCCCTTTTCATGCGCCACCTGAAAAAAGAAGGGGAGAAGAGACTCTACATGTTTGATGGAGGGTTCCACCTACGCCCAAAGAGAGAAAAAACCCATTCCCAAATTGACTTTGCAAATTGGCAAGACACCAATAAGTGAAAACCAGTCTCCCCATCCGCTTTGCAAAGAACACACCAATGAGGTGACAAGCAAGTATTGGGTCTCTTCTTTTGGAACAAATCACCAGTGTTGAATCTTTCCAGATAGGCTTCCCAACAAAAACTACCAACCCTAGGAGGAACTGGTCTACACCAAACCTCATTAACCGGGAAAGGGGAGGTTGCAGGACTGGTGGACTGGCATAAGACTTTGAAGAAGGAAGCACAAGAAAAAGAGCCCGTGGGGGTAGGGGTCCAAAGTCTAGAGTCCACCTTAGAGGGGTCTAAGAAAACATTATCAAGAAGTTCAAGGAGGTTCAAAATACTGTCGAGGTCTGAGTCCCTCACAGCCCTCCTCAAACCGAGGTTCCACTCGAACCCAAAACTGGAAGAGGAAGGGGTGATGAAAGAAGAAACTGGCTCATTTTTAAAATCTAAGAGAGCATACAAAGAGGGAAACTGGTCCTTAAGATGAACATTCCCCACCTAAGTTTGTTCCCAGAATTTTATGGAATTACCTGAATTCAAATCATACCTGACAAGAGGGGAGAAAACTGGTAGCAAATCATGAATGGCTTTCCAAGGTGAGGTGCTTGTGGTCCTAGTTCTGATTCCAGCATCCCATCCATTTTGCTCCATCCCATGTATGCTTGCCACTATTCTAGCCCATAGCTTCTCTGCTCCAAAGGAAACCTCCATAACCACTTCCCCAAAAGGGCCATATTCCTTTTCTTGATGTTCCCAAGCCCCAAACCACCATAGATCTTACTCCTTGTCACCACCTTCCAGCTAACTATATGGTCCCTCTTCTCCTCTCCCGGCTCCCAAAGGAAATCTCTCATCAACCTCTCTAACTTACTAGAAACCTTCACTAGAATTTTGAACACTGATTGGAAATAAATGGGTAAGTTTGCTAACGTGGCCTTAATCAGTGTAGTCCTTCCACCAAGAGAGAGGTAATTTTTTTTCCAAGAGACAAGTCTTTTTTCAAATCTTTCCACCACTGGGTTCCAGAAGCTCTCTCTCTCTTAGGATTATCACCTAAGGGAAACCCTAGATAACTTAATGGCCATCTTTAAACTTCACACCGGAGCACTTCTGCACTCTCCCTAATCTCTCCCTCCTCCATATTCACACCCACTACACAACTTTTCCCAAAGTTCACCTTCAGATTTGACATTTGCTCAATGAGTTGAATCACCAGTTTCAAGTTCCTGATGAAACTCACATTACCTCCTTCACAAAACAAGATCGTATCATCAGTAAACTGTAAGTGAGTGAGTGGGATGTCCTCCTTTCCAACCCTCCAACCTCTAATGAGGCCCCTAGAGTCTGCTCTGTGAATCAGTTTCCCCAGAACATCAGCAACTAGTAAGAACAAGAAAGGAGATAGGGGGTCTCCCTGTCTTATACCCCTAATGGCTGAAAAGAAACCTACCACTGTCCCATTCACTAGCACTGAGTAATGACAATTCCGAACACAACCCATGATCCATTTGCACCATCTAGCCCCAAACCCAAATTTGGTCATAACTTTCCTCAAAAATTCCCAATCCACCAAGTCATAAGCCTTCTCTAGATCCAACTTACAAACCACTCCCTTCTTTTTATCCTTTTTGAAATTCTCCACTCTCATTAGCAATGAGGATTTGATCAGTAATCTATCTTCCACTCACAAAGGCACCTTGATTTTGTTCAATGATGTCCAACAGTACCTCCTTCAATCTCAAAACCTTTGCAATAATCTTGTACAGGCTATTTACCAAACGGATTGGTCTAAAGTCCCTTGGGTGTGAAGCTTCTTTCTTTTTGGGAATCATAGCTATAAAAGTGTTCACACCCGGATTAACAATTCCTCTCCTATGAAACTCCTCAAAAACCAATAGAAAGTCATCTTTCAAAATATCCCAGTAGTCCTGATAAAAAGCCATTGTGAACCCATCTGGCCCTGGAGCTTTTGTTCTATCCATAGAAAACACAACCTCCTTAATCCCTTCCAAGCCAAACATTCTTTCCAATCTTCTCCTGTTATCCCCCCCTACATCTGGCCAATCCAATCCTTCTACCCACACCCCTCCACTTACAGGCCTT